TAAACGACAAGTTTTTCTTAAATGAAATGCTCTTTTGTGATTGTGTATCGGATTCCGGTGTGCAATGGACACGGTTCCTCTATGGGAACTAGAACATGTCTTCTGAGAAACAGTGTCGTCAATTGTTTAGAACAGTTTTTGCTTGTATGTAATTATTGTTGTAATGTAGTGTTATGTTCAGTTGGCTGAACATACGTTTCTGCATAATTAATTAGGTGTTGTATTTGAGTGTCGTAAGAATTCGCTTGAGGGAGAGAAATTGGACGACAGCATTTTTAGAGAAGGGAGAATCATGGAATGACTTCTCCCGCTGAGGGTGAACCGAGAAGTATTGTCAGACTCTTATTAACTAAAATCCACCCCGTTCCAACTCCTGCTCTGGTTTTCATGAAATCCTTCAGCCGCTACCACTCCAATCCAGGGTACAGTATTAAGGAGTTTAGTAGAAAACGATATGTCTACTGTCTAGTCACATATTTGACAAATCTGTTCTTGTAATTATAAGCATGGACATCCAACAAGGTCAAAAGTCGAAAACCAAAACTCATGCAAGTTGCTAGTTGGAGTGCAACCTTCAACTCCCATTAAATATTTTCCTTCACAAACCGAGTGATTACAACAATAGTTGTGGTACCATTTAACCTGAGTGAGCAATAATAATCGCACTCTAAATTATCTAGTATCTTCTATGTATAATGGGTTGCGTAAAATGTATAGTTAGCGGGTTTCCACGGTTGTGTTGACAATGCGAGGTGGTGCAACGGTGGTGGCTCATCTGGTGGAGCGAGTCAGTCGTACGCGCAGCCTTGCACTGTCAACTGCACATACCAATAGCTCACGAGTCACGCTGTACTTGCTGCACCAGTAAGCTATCGGGAACGAACGGTGTAACATTACTAGGTACACACAGTTTCATAACAAACAAAAAGTGCGCGTCGTTTTGTTTTCCAAGTGTGGTGTTCATGTGTGCGGTAACCAGATGTAAATAACATGCTGATTGTTTGTTTATTTTACATTTTGTTGTGTTGATCATTCGAAACCATTGAGTATTGATATGTTTGTTGACTTTATGTAACCATTCATTCTGTAGAAGCTCTTAACTAAAGTTATTGTGTTGTGATACGTCAAGTAGTAACTTTCATTTTTGGTTCGATCTGCGCGTCCGCGGTAGGCGGGCGAGTTTTAGGCGGGCGCATTTTGGGCGGACGTTCCTAACATACGTGTCAGAGTTGCACTGCTCGCCTGTTTCTTGTTATAACGCATATGTATATTGAGAGTTCGGTTTGACCTATATTCAAAATAACATTAAAATGATCTTAAACAAAGGCATTACCATACTATTAATATACGATATTTTGTTGCTGTTTATAAATATTTATTCAATTAAATCTCAACTTGTTCACGATTTTCCACAGTTTACGTTAAAATATCGAGTAGTAAATGTTTGTTGAAGTCGTTGACCGTGCTTCGATTTCTCCTGAAATACACAATATTACCGCTAACGGTCAAGCGTAATGCTAATTGAACGTGTCACAGTTCAATGCTCCAATAACTCCGAGAATATCAATCAGACTACAACAGTACTCTAATAATACGCCATGCGCCAACCCCAAGTGTGACAAACATTGGCGCCAACATTGCGTAACGCAACATTCCAATCTACCGTAACTTATTAGTTGTGTTGGTATTGGTTATTGGCCATCATGATCACAAAAGATAAATTAGCCGAATAAAAGTTGTATTAAAACATTTTTGCTACGTCCTTGTAGGTATGCAATTTACTGTAGCATTTGAATCATATCTAGAGCGAGGACGATCAATTAGGTAAAAAATGGTAAACAAAGAAAACATTTGACTATCTGAAATGTGAAGGTTCAATAACATGATCTCTGAAAAAAAATTAGCTAGCAGCGGAAACTATAAAAGACTAATCGGACGCCATTTTTCATGTAATAAGAACCTCATTACAATTTAGAATTGAAATCATGTATTAATAAATTCAACAAGTCAATTATCATGCCCATATATTCCGGCAAGCGGTTGTTTAATTTCTAATTAGGCTTGTTCAGTGGTAATGTGTAAGGCGCGGTACACACGATCACACGACCGCAGTGCGCGCTGGCTCATGACGACTGTACAGTACGAGTACCGCTACGCATTATGGACTATTTGACGCCTAGCGTACTCTTTGATTCACCCGTTAAAGACAATAAACCTATTACTGTACAATTTAATATTTATTCTGCAATATAAGCTTTATTATAAGAGCGTGTGAGAACAGGCTTACTTTTTTTTTGTTTGGATGTCAGTCATTATGTTTATGTTTCGATTTTAGTTTAGGGTTTGGTGTGGGATGGTCTGAAGAGTGCTGAATTATTTTTTATTGCTTTGTTGAAACTTTAGGTATAATTACAGGCAGATGATTGTTTGTTTTCTAGAGATTCTTTATTTGACGCAATAAAACTACTTTATTGTTGAAAAATGGATGATTATTTTTTTATTATTTTAGGAAAACTTTTCTGTGCCTATGTCAACTTCCACCAATAAAACTTCATTTCTTCTTAGAAAATGCTGTTTAAAATACATCCATAATATGTCTTAAAGTCAGTCTCTATACGTCTATATGTTTGTATCTGTCTGGGAAACTACAAGATCAGAATGGGGCATTCAATCGGTTATCATATTGTCTGCTGCCACTGTTCTGTGGTTTAGTCATAATAATACTATTATTAATGGTGCAACATTTGATTCGCTACAATATAATGGAACATTAAATATCTTGCACCACTTTGTGAATTTGTATTGTTTTAAAAAATTACCAAGTACGAGTTGGTCTCATACATTTAGGGTCTTTTTACTTGCAAGAAATGCGCAAAGTAGGTATATATGTTATTCCACATGTATTGGATTAAGTAAAGTTAAATTAAAACATTTTCTGCAAGCTTCTGGTTTAGACGTCCCACCAAAATGAACGTAGTCTTTATGATGAGTCAATCTGCAGTAAATTTCGAACACAAACTCCTGACATTGAGACTCATTGGAATTCTATTGTCTTTTTTATGAAAACATTCGTACACTATTTATATTACTACAGAGACTAAGATTGTGTTGCCAACTTTGCAAAACGATTTATAAATCCACCATTCCTCACAGGTCATCAGATAACACAAATCTTTACCTCGACATTTAGGAAAATTCAAATCCCATCTTATATTCAAATCGTAAATACTTATTTTTTCCGACTCGTGTACCCAAATTACGGTTCAAAACAACATTCAAATGCGAACAAAGGAATGAACTTTATGGTAGTGGAATTCTCAATGGAGTCTGTAGGGTTAGGTCACAGATACAATGATAAAATACCATGAGACGATCCGACGAACTTCGACTTGGGTTTGTATTACAATAATAATAGCTTACGAAACACACGCCTGCCTACACATAGATCAAGGACTAGGTTCGTCATTACTGATGTTACAATGCGGACGATTATATCAATTGTAGGGTCTTGTCTTCCATAATTATATAAGTGCTAATGGAATTTACATTTCGACAAATATTTTATTTGCTTGCTCATTGCGCAGGCGCTCACGTTTGCTGCCGTTCCCTCTCACTGATGGATACCTTAACTGGTATATCAATCTGGACATCATCTTTAATCAATTTGTGGTACTTAATGGGCGTGTCGTAACCGCGACGTGAAACGTGAATTACAATACTCTCTGACGTTAATGTCTTGTTCGAAGGATCGATTGTACAGCTTAGTAATCTGCAACTCATTTAATTCCCTTTGCGGGTTATTAAGGCAAGTACAAATGATAGAAATATTTTCGTGAATGTGTACAATTAATCTTTTTGCGTCATTGCAATTGGTAACTCGAGTGTGGGAGCTGTATTATAGCATTTTTTTTCATATAAGTGCCTACTTTACTTGGTTTAGAAACAGTAGAGCCAATTAAAGCTTAATGCTACCAGAATAAAGTGGTAATTTTTGTTTGCCTCATATTTTGTATGTTGGTTTTATTTTTTTCTCAATAATTATTAATAATCATTTGACTTTTGGTGTTAATTAAAGTCTGAGATTAGTGTAATCTTAAGGGGACATCTGGACTGCGCATTGCAACAGCATTGTTGCAATACATATCCATCTCATAAGTTCACAAATGCTGTTGGTATCCATTCCTTTTTACATAACATCTTCTAATGAAGAGGAGAAACTATTTCGCTGGCATGCATCAGGAAATACTGGTCTTGTAATAGATGAACCGAGTTATCAGTGCATCTGTACCATTAACGGCACATCAGTTGCATAAAGTACCACGAATAGTTGCACAATCGCAGCAATTCACTCTCGTTGCGTGTCCCGCGGCCGCCATTGTCGCGCACGCGCTTTACTGAGAACGTTCCCGCGTAAAGGGGGCAAAAAGCGCGGGAACTGCGCCCAAACAATAATGGCCGACATAACGCTACGAATGTTATCTGTAGCTATGTACGTACTATGTACCTGCTGGAGGTTTACAACATAGCGAATGTTCTCATTGCTTGTTTCAATACAGTAGCTCGACATTAAGAATGTACTTAAGTGTTCACTTAATGATAAACTATGATAAAATACTCAAATCAGTTTGTAATAATAATAATCCATCAGACAAGGGAATAGGTATAAATTCGTACATGAAACACACAAAGATGATTACCAAAATATTTGTCTTGATAGTGCTATTGATCGACTCTTTCAATTGACAAACAAAAAGTAACAGAATACTCTTCATCCGGCCATTATTCGCATATTCTGTTTAATTGACACATATTTAACGGATAAAGAATTCCACTGTTTCGACAAACAAACAAACAAACAAACAATCAGCATTAGTAATAAGCAATTTCATTCAAGCTCAGTGTGTTGTGTGTCGTCGGCAACGACAGCTTGGTAGCATTGTGTAGTGAACAAGCTACAGTTGCAGTAACTAGTGTCATGTAGTACAATGACAATATTTGCGAATAATATGCTTGTCAAGTGAAGTGTACATTTGTACAATGACTATCCAAAGTGAAGGAAACCTACACAAGTTTTGTTATTGAGTGATCAAACATTTGTAAAAATGGTGAACGGCAACTACGTACTGTACGGCGACCGACCGTCCTCAGAGTCGGAAATAGTCGATGATCATGTCCATACACGGTCAAATGAGCGTAAAAATAAACGGAAGATGAATAGGACAGCGAACGAACTTCAACATACATTAAACTTAGCTCAGCTAGACAATGAGACCGACTCTGTGAAATATGAGAAGAAAATAAAAGAGCCGCGGTTACTGCGCTACGTACCGACGACGGAAGTGGAAGAGAATTTCGTCACCGAAAAATTCGAAACATATGATTTGAAACCGACCGAGGAGCGACCGAGACGATACGCATTTACCAAAAAACCAAAGAATCCGTCGGACGGGTCGGTCAACTACGCTTACTCACGGTCGAGCAGTAGCTGCAGTTCGCCGAATGGTAACCTGCCGACCATTTCGGAGCACGGCGAGCAGTACGGCACATATCGCGTGCGCGCTATGCCCAGCCCCACCGTGAACGATCTCATCGCTGGCTACGACACCAAACTGGACAAGTACTTCTCCAAACCCAGGGATGTGAAACCCTTCTCTGCTAAGGTAGGGTACAACGTAAGTGTAGTCAACATGTGCCTCTACTCACAATATTTTAAAATGTCTTTTGCACATTAAAAGTGAACAACATAAATAAACCCAGCTTTATTATAAATAGTAGTATATCATATGCAAGAAACCAATAAGTATTAATTATGTTAAACATTAATTTATGTACTGTGAAATTCTTTCATTCCATTTATATTAATGTAAATAATAAATTTACTTTTTTAAACGATAATTATGAGTGCGTGGTTATCTAATAGAATCATTATGTAAATTTGTTCTGTCTTGTATCGATAGGTAACTTCATAATTTTTAGTTCGTGCCTCGAGTTGATCACGAAGTAATAATAAAATAATCGATATCAATCTCTAATGACATTAATATTTATATCCGTGTATTACAATCTTATGGACATGGCATCTTAGATGTATATGAAAATAAATTTATTCGCTTGTTATAATCCAACGAGATGTAAAATATCTTTATTTCATCTTATCACCATTTCATTGCGACTAATCTCGTGAGATTATCTTCCAATCGGAATATTATTAGAAGCTAATCTTCAAATATTTGGTTGTTTAAATTTATTAATTTAACATAAATAGATGTACGTGTGTACATCTATTTTAGTCAATAATTTTATCAAATATACATGATAAAGTTAATCTTAATTAAAAAGCGAGCTGTTCATATCCCCGTTAATGACATATGCAGAAACAACTTATCAAGCTCTAATCACCAACCGGTTAATTGAACTATCACATGTACAGGATTTTAATGTAGTTTAAGTATCAAATACCACATTTTATAAGAGGCTTGGCAATAAACTAATTATGATAGTCGCTGAAAGTGGAACATGTATGTTGATAAGTGTCGGCGTAATGTTATGACAGAATGCCTTCCGCATCAGGGCAGTAACTCCACCCTATGCGAAACTAGCTATAAAACCAAAGACGCTATCGTTCCACTGGAGTCGAGATTCACGACAATAATGTTAAATAGACTGGAGTTATAGATGGAGTTGAAGTTATACTACCATGATTATTTTCAACTTCCTTGATGGATTTTTCCAAAATTTTCTTTTATAAGAACCTTATTCTAAATATAAAATCACGATAAAAAGTAATTAGTAAAATCGGTCTAGCTGTTCACTCGTGATCCGATGACCAAAGGAAATTGGTGTTTATTTTTATTGGGTACTAGATTCTGCCCGCGACTTCGTACGCGCAATCCCATTTTCGCCCGTTCCCGTAGGATTTTAAGTTTTTTTTAAGTCATAAGTATCTTCTCCTAGTAAAAACAAATACAACAAAAAAAGAATTAGTGAAATCGGTCCAGCCATTCACACATGATGCCGGGACTTAGGGAAAAAGGGATTCATTTAGATATATATATTTAGATTTATATTTATATGCAGAGTATGTTAGTATAGAGTTGTATAGATTTTATTTCATAAATTAATATTTTTAATATAAATAATAAGAGTATTATTTTAACAAAAGTAACTTCATTGATTGTTAATATCCAACAGTTTACAATTAGGTAATTATAGGTATGCATTATTTACTACCTATATTCATTATAAAACAAAGCGGTTTAAAATATTCTGCATTTCTTTTTATTATAATATGTAGTTGTTTTGTTGTGCACGATGATAAAGACATTCTTTTGAAAAGTATTTTATTGTTATACTTGAAAAATTCTTAAATGATTTATCTTGCATATAATTCACATTCTTATTCATTCCTAGCAAATATTACGCAACCATTCGATGGAAGAGGGTGTTACTGTTATAGCTGTATTAGTGTAGTTAAGGTTCATAACTAAAATAGGAAAGATATTAATTATGTACGAGAGGCTATTTTGAATATTTTATTCTCTTCTGCTCTCTATGAGATGAACAGTTTATCTAGTTTGTGTGCTCATGAAATGAAATACTAATCATTTTCTTTATCTCTGTCCCGTATACGTTTAACCCGTCATTCCGTCGGTTGGCTTACGAATTGCATTAGCTTGATAGTTGAAAAAACCTACTAGTTTTAAAAATAGTCTAATATTTTATTCTATATACATAGTCTAATCTTAATAACGGTCCTAAATCTTTCTAAATAACCAATTCCCTTCCCTACGTAAGATTGTATTGGGATTTGCCTAAGTTCCTAAATAAATAAATAATTGTGCTCAGTTCCAGTGGTGAAAAGTGACAGTACAACTTAACTGTCCATCCTTTAATAAAAAAACATCGTAATATGTGCGACATCTTGTGCAATATAGTTATTTGGAGTAAATTTTTAGTCACCAAAACTTACAAGTGTAAACCGCAAACTTATTTAATCCATAACAATCATAAAAGCGAATCAAATGATTCATCGCTTATCGCTGCAATACTTTTGTTATTTAACACCTCACAAAGTTACCGATTTGTTAATAATTTCGCCGTACAAAGTATTGCTACATACTCAATTAAAGAAGTTTAACGATGCAACAAAAACTCAGCAATGACGTTTATACAGTCATCATACACAAGCACCGTCAATAAATCAATAATTTATTGTTCAGGAAAATTATAATGGATGGCGTAATATAAACGAATATCTCCAAAAGGAAATATTTGTTTATTTATGTATTTGCGTTGAATAGGCTCTGAAACTACTGGACTGATTTGAAAAATTCTCTTATTATTAGGAAACTGATGCCTATTTTCTACAAACTCTCCTAAATATAAAGGAACCCCTAAGCTAAGATAGATGATACTTAACGTCATTTTGGGTTTTCACCAGCCTGGAAGTGACACCTAACAGTACATGTAAGGGGCATGTAGGTGCTACGTCAGGTTAAATGACATTTAGTAAAGTGATAGTTACTGTTTAAGGGTGATCACAGTTTTAGTGTGGGACATTAGATACAGTAAGTTATTTTCACTCGACTCGAAGGAAGGTTATTGTTCATATCAATATTCATGTTGGATCGCGATTAACTTGAGAGAAATATTTATATTCCACGCGAGTGAAACCGCAGGAAGAAAGCAAGAAAGAAACCAGATGAACAAACATACGGGATTGAATAGGTAGTATCTTGATTGTATGTATTTCTATTGTTTTCATAGAAATGTACATATGTCAGTTACACAACAGTAATTACTAGTCGGTAGTACGGTAAACACACATTATTGTTAATTAATTTATTTGTTACATTTACTACGTCCGTGATAGTGATGAATCGTGTGCACCCGTATCATTTTTCAATGGGATCTAAATCAATATTTTATTATACTTCAAATAGGAATGTAAGTAGTTTCCGTAATAAGACACTAATATTAATAACTTCGACGCTCTGTTGAAACTTCCATCTGATAAGGACACTTTGTTTTCTAACGCTTTCTAAACTCCCAATAAGATTCACAACAAATGACAAACTAATACATAGTTAATATGTAAATGGCATATCTTCGAGCCGTAAAATACCAAATGTTTTAATTGGTATATTGCTTCACATTAATTCTATTCAATGTTTATGGCATTCATTTGATTCATTTAAAACGAAGCCCGGTAGCAATCTTGCATATATTTCGAATGTCCATTGCGATGGACGAACTGTTTCATTCAGACAGCTAATACGTGATTTGTATGGATTAAGACGACCCAGCACCGCGGGAGTTCTCGTGCTACACGGCCATTCTACTCGATATACTATTTTGATGTTTACCAATATTAATATTATTTGTGGCTCATTTCATATTCATAGCCATTATATTTCTAAATATGTTTAGATCTTTATCTTCCAAACTTATTCTCACTTTAGTGCTAGACTCTATAAAATTGCAACTTTCTTTCATTAGCAAAAAATCAGGTTTTAAAAATGCCTTCAGTTACAATTTATTATCCTAAAAAATGTTAACAACGCCCATAAATCAGAATCGAATTACAATCGATTAGAGAAATTTAAATACCGCCCACATTCCTTACTTCTTTATGATAATAATGTGAGATAAATTAGCTTTTGGTCCATAACTAGTTGTTATTAATGTAAGCGTACCTACTGACGTTTCCGATATTTCAAAATTGTCAACATAATAATATCATTCATACCTATTATGCATACATAGTTATATGAATTACGTAACTTTCTAAATGAAAAAAGAAGTTGTTAGATAATAGCTAATTTGTGGAATTTGAAATTGTATTAATCAATGTGTCATCGATCACATGTCGGCTGCATATTCATAATTGTGGTTTATCTGCAAGATCGGTGAGCGTGTATGGCTTCCTTGCATAAATTATAGCAAGCTTTATATAGTACTTACTTAACAAAAGTGGTATGCTCACAGGCGGCCACTTTCTTCCATATAAATGACATAATAAAATTTTTATTCGAATCGAGCATCACGTAACGTTACTCGGACATGTACTATGTTTTGTTTTGAATAAATATAGTTAATCTGCTCGATATGTGGGTGTATAGACAAATGCCTACACATGTTTACCCATAAAACTCTTATATTTTATTGCAAAGTGTTCTCTCACAATTCCGTACACCTATTAAATCATTATTGTTAACGACATGCTGATTTTTTCTCATAATTTAAACTGCTTGATGGCATCCATTATCGAAAACTTTCAACTATCAGTATTCAACGCTTACACCATACTATTGATCATTTACATGAAGAAATGTAATTGGGAGACTGTCGATTTTTCCATTTTCTATGTTTACTTACTTTCCATTCAATTACATTCTAGGTACTGACTGCCTCGTTGCCCGAGTGGTCGCAAGTGCGACTCGGGTTCGATTCCCGGGTCGTGGAAAGTTTTTACTGGGTTTTTTTTAAATCTCAGTAGTAGCACGGAGCCTGGAATTGTGCCCAGTATATGGCAATAGGCTCACCCTCTATTACATGGGACTCATAACATAAATAGTGAAAAGTGGATGTTACATTGTACAGTGACAATAAATACACTTTTGCTTACCTCTTCGGGAATAAAAGGCGTGATGTTATGTTATGTTACATTCTAGGTACCTACTTTATCCATACTGGGCCGTCTTAATCTTCGGGGCCCTTGTGGGATGATTATATTATTATTTAACGTTGTACGACACTAGGATTTTCTTCTGTATCGTGGATGCCTTTACAAATATACAAATTCACATACACATGACACCCAGACCCGAAACAGTGATTTGTGGATCACACTAAGATTTGCTCCGTGCGGGAACCGAAGCCGTCGTGTGTGTGTGTGTGTATGTGTGCAAGGTGTGTTTCCTAAGGAAGGGGGCCCTGGGCACTGAGTATGGTAAAGACCGTACTGCATAGATCGGAATGTGTTTTACTTTGTTTATGAATATTTATGGAATGTAAGATAATATATCCTATGAAAGAATTTGGATTTTCTTATTCTTCTAGTAATAACAAACATACATACAAAATAAGCTACATACTAAGAGTATATAAAATAATTACAATTAAACTCTTGCGTTGCATTTTAAAACATTACACAATTATGGCGAATTTTTCTTCTCCTTTATTACCTTTTAATTATAATTATTCACTCTTGCCACAAAATGCTTCATAAATTGGTATAAGGTAACAAACTTTCTTTCTGAAAATCTACAACTCTGTTGAAAAGCTCTCTTCTCACTGTGAGAAGAAAAAAGCATTAATTTCGTCGAAATTTACCAATAAACGTGTATGAGGATGGGCTTAATGCCACAGGCATTCCTGCTAGCGAACGTTTAAGTGACGGAGACTGCTAATGGCAATAATGATATAGTTTATGAGAATATGAAACCATTTTTTTACGATAATAGTGGATGGCCAAGATTATTAATAGTCCCTATGTTTTGTCCTCAGGGATCCCATCCCGACAGCTTGTACCGGGTGGCTACAGACAACAACACTGGCGCCAGCAAAGTGACGCGGGTGCTGCGCGTACTAAGATGGCCAGTTGCACTAATCGCAGTGTGCATCGCCCTCGCTATCTTCGTGTACTTCCTTATGCCTGGTAAGTAACCTTTAAGAAAGAAACTATAAAAAAGTGATTTTGTTATTTTGTCCTTATTTGAAATTATCTTACTGAAGTTATGACACAATACTTTTTGTCTCCATATACTCCGTTATTCAATTAATTTCACTTTCGTTCGAATTTCTTTTCCATAAGAATCCTTCAACGCCATTTTCAACAATATTGATCAATATTTATATCACGTAGCAAGGGCAAAAAATGCGATTTTAATTCTTACACAGAGCAATCTCAATTTTAATTTATAATAATCATACACATTCAGAACAAATTAATATATATATATATATTTTATATTGCGGTAATAAGTCAAGGGAAAGCGAACACGACAAACAAATACGAAAGCTGAACTTATTACGCACATTACAAATATAGGTATCATTACTGACATTTTTTTACAAAACTGATTAAGTTGTTATCACACAATTGTATCTTTTTGTAACAAATAACTTGGTACAGCCTTTTGTCAATTACTGCCTTTCTATACCTTTCACCCGTTTTCCTATATAGAGGTACGATCGTAAACAGTTCTCCTTTTACCTTTCTTGTCTGATCGTATACCTCTCTATCTAAGTATAACTTGATTAGTTTCAAGGTGTTTTATTTTGTACTACAAACATAAAACAAAGTTGACTCGCTACCCAAAAGGTTACCACCAATCAATAGTGCAAATGACCCAACATTTTTAATTCAACAGTTAAAAACTGACAATCATAATACGTAGTTACCAAAATCGTTCGAAGCTATAAAAGGAACAGAATTCCGATTAGCCGAAGTTATTCTTTGAGTATGTACATATATGGTGTTCACAAGGCTTTGTTGAATTGGTCACGTCGGAACTTTCAATTTCCCAAACGTAATGCTCCAATATTTGCAGCTTTGCATCATACCGGGCATATTTGTGTCGTGGGTATTGCTCGAAAGCTGATATTGACACCATTGTTGTTAATGACACCACATTCGGATGTATCGAGTTCCCACAACTAAATCACTGATGTTTATGGACGAGAGACAGCTCAGGCCACCATTCTAAACCCATTTATATTTTACAACTGTTTTATTATATCAATGGTTATGATTTCCGTCGAGAGAGCAACGCTTTTACCCTGTTATCTGCTTTCATTGGTACAATATGGTTATTAGGTGTACCAATATAAAGCGCGCGTGAACTCTCGTGAGAATGTTAACGCGATACCTTACTATCAGCACCTTATTAAATGCTTTCAGTATTCATTAATTTTATGTTTTTATATTAAAACGTGTTCGATTCAACTAGTTACGATAATGGGGCAGTGAAAATAAAGATAAGGTGGTATCGTAGATCAGTGGAACTTAATTAACATCTGGGAAGATTTTGACATAATGTCGGTTATATCAGACGCTATTTGAGTTGATCGAAAGTCGTTATTATAATGTGATAGAGTTCACTCGGGTTCCGGTGAAGACGCGCCGGACGGCACGAGCGATGTCAGAGGTTAAATCTGCACGTAACACAGACACGATTGTAGAAATACCCGCACAACTATGGACTTGGTAACATATAGCTTTGTTATATCAACACCTCATACAACTTGTTTGACAAAAACTGTTTAGACACCCAACATATAATTTAGCAACAGACGTATCTATCAACACGTAACTGCTATTTATTACTTTTATCGTCTAATAAACGTAATTGGATTCTAGTTGACTAAAACTTTTATTGACGAATCCATCATAATTTTATTCAATCAATATTTTATTTGACTCCTTTATCGCCATGACCTGGTCTAAAAATAAATGAGAATTTGCATATAGAAAGTCTGTAATGTTAATTTTTGCCTTAAGATCAGTAATTGCCCTCGATGTGGAAGCTGAAATACATCGTAAAATAACTTTCAAAGCAATTATAGTCCTTTTCATGTGCAAATTGTACTTTGATAAGAGTACGAGGCTCTCGAAACTTTTGATCTCTTCATAAATATTCAGTCACTTTCACATCTCACACGCGAAGGGATTTTAATAACAGATTTTTAAATGGTAAAGTAAAATTGTGGTGAGCAATAATTTGATTGCGTGGGGTGTCCCACCGACATGGCCGCGCTGAGCCTGCGCCGCGCCGCAAGCGACCGGATGCGCTCCAGTCTCTTTTGTTGCTCTCATATTGTGTTTTTATTTGCGAAGGATACGTAAAAACGAAAGTTGACCTCGCTGATACTTTTGTGCATCCATAAAGCCATGTAGGTGAATTTATTTTTATACGACCTCCACTTTTTCGCATTTCTTCTCCTTTTTAGATAGACAAAATGAATGCTCATCGTCGTGTCGCAGTGTTTTATATAACTGGAATAATTTTGCAATATAATGAAAGTTAAAGAAGTCAACACATAAATTAGAGCACTTAAAATGGCATACGAGGTTTACTATTTCGCTTCCGTCGAGTTGTTTGTTATTACTAGAGATCTATTCAAATCATTCTAATTAGAATGCAGCGGTGTCTGTATAATCAATAACAATAAAATCAACAAAGACCAAACGAATTGTTGTTTAGTCTGGATTCCAAACAGTCAGTTGTTTTTTTTTTATATTGTAAACTTAGAATTTTTTCTTCCTCTTGATTTTTGTGGCCTTACTTAATTTCAATACATGTAGAATATTGGCCAGCGAGCATAATTATTATTTTAGAACCTAAATCAAGTCGAAAATAGGTTGTTATCAAACAACTTAACCTTATTTTCCAAAGGAAAAAGGCTATTATTATTAGGTTTTACATAAAAAGAATTGGTTACTTACCACACACCCACACCAATACCACACGTTCTTTCTGCTGACACCCACGTTATTTACAATCAAGCGTATTATACCAATACAATACAATCCGTTCAGTACTTTCTGTTAATTACAGTATGCAAAACGTGAAGACATACGCGTATAATCAAATGCGGATTCACGCGAAAACAATTACGAAAATTAATTGAAGGTTGTGCTGTGTTGCTATCTGTTGATGCTAATGTATATGTACTTTAGTACTTCCAGTATCGATTTAATAACCGTATTGTTGCAATCAGTACATATAAGTATGAATGTATGATGGAATGATTGGAGACAATAAAATGGTTGCGGTTTAAAATTGATTTTCGGAGAAAGGAGGAAGTTCCCAGTACTTCTATACGATCTGTAGCTTGTAAGTGTACTTTAAGGCATCGATCTTCTAAATAAAGTACATTTGTTTGCTATTGATTGAAAATGTAGTTTAAAAATCGATAATTAAAGAAGTAGACCCGTGCGTACAGCGCTTTGCGTTCCGCGCCCTTCTCGAATAGTCATCAGACCACCACAGATGGGTCCCAGTCGGCCTGCTGCCAAATCCAGAGCTGCGGACAACCTAACGGGTTACCGCTTTACCGCACCTCCGGTTCTAAGCAGGAGTAGCAATGAGATGGGTTTCTGTCAGTAAGACTCTGAAACACTTTTGACAAACACAATGCGAGAGATGTCCTTAGATGATTATCCTCATCAAAAAAGGCCTATAAAATATCTTTTATTTATTCTTAAACATAATGTAAATGTCATTAAAACTATTATGTACGTGTATTAAGTACTTACCCATGTTCCATTCGATTTGCAAAACAATTTATCGCGATGGAATTAGTAACGTATAGTTGTAATTAAGGACGTTTATAACTAGTAGGGCTACGACAGTTGATATGCGTTGCCGAGGTGTGGCCGCCTGGCTGCCTGTGGGCTGAGACAGTACCGCTTATCTTATGTGTCAAGCAGTTATCTACTAAATTACCTAATGACTCCTCGTACCTAGGTACCTGGGCTAATAGTCTCCAACATCGCCACAGCACTAGTTCTCAAATTGCATCCAACACACCTCACAGCGTTATGTAACATGTAATCATTTTAATTACTTACAAAGTAGGATACGTGTTACAGGGAGCCTAGACTACATCCCGTATATCGGTTAAGTTATTTCTGCGAAACTGTTCTGTGCCGCGAAGAAATTGAGCGAAATGCAACTCTATTGCTTATGAAAATGTCGGGTTGTCAGATTGTCCTTAAAAGTTAAATTGTTTATGAGATGAAATATACTTGGTATAAGCAAGGGTACGACAAGGTCGAGCCAATAATATTCTGGCCCTTTAAAATGTTTAAATTGGATATTTTTTGCTTTTCCATAATTTTTCCACTAAATCTTAATTAGATTCGACTACTTAAGTCATTCAGGTACTTATAGTTATATTGGCGGCTAGAACCAGGTTCCAGGTTCTCTCCATCACTAGCTTAGACCTGTCTACTACATTTTTAGATAGACTCGTTGGAGGATTATTTCACCTCGAATAATTTGGAGGCAGCAGAAATAATGAGTCCCATGATTGTTATTAATCTATTCGCTGTATTTCATTATCGAAAAGAACATTATTCAAATTACAAAACAGCATGTTCCTGTAAACACATGGCAAATGGCATTAATAACAAAATATAGTCGTGAACGGAAGTCCCGGTGCTCACCTATGACACTAACAACGGGAGCAATATTTACCCACCGCATTACTTATGTATGTATGTATATTGTGTAACCGCGATAAGGATTAATGACGAGACTAGGCTGACACGAGGAGTGCCGTGACATCTTGAACCAAGCTTTCACCGGCACGCGGCTTCACTCTCAATGATACTCGAGCTTCCTACAACGATTATGGAGCCAATTCTGATGTACATAATTAATAAATGTAACTACTTTCCACACTGAAAAAACATGGTAGTTTTAACTCAAAAATCAGACTCAAAGACTAGATAAAACTATTAACTAGATAACTAGAATCTAGTAGAATGACGAGAATGAGTAATTCTAAGATCATCAAAGTTGCCATTATAAACCAGTACTTATAAGACAAGATGATACGACGTAACATCTCAGTTACAATGTTATTCAATGTAAAAGTCTAGCTACCGGTCACCGCAACCTAGTGCTTGGACTAACTGCGTAATACAAATGTTGTCATTCTCTTTATAAAACGATTTGTTCAATAATTCAGTATGAAAAGTACATAATTTTTGGTCACCTATTAGATGTTGAAGTATCTTATAACGAATGTAAAGTACGCAACATTTATTTATTACATCCAAGATTAATTTTTCAAGCAGTTTATTACTGAAATTGAATAAAATAAATACCCACTTAAGTAGCAATCATGTCTCAAAATGTATGTTATTAGTGGTTAAGTATTTCGATTAAAATTGCATACAAAATCGTAAATTAGAAGGAGTCTATTAAAATCAATGATTTTCAATATCCAGTGATTTAAATTAAATGTATCTGCGTTGTATATGAGTAGATATTTCAATTTATTTTAATAATTCTCGTTATTAACGTTTGTAGGTTTTTGGCACGCGTCATAATTAATCTGGCTATTCAATCGACGGTGTATAAGTTTATTGATTTATAGCTACCTAGTCTGTAATAGAATGTCGGCTACTATGCAATGAAGGTAGTTCAATCCCCTAATTGTTCAATCTTCTGTCGTTCTGCATCAAAATTTTGATATTTTATGTTTCACAATTATCCTATGGACAAATAAACGACAATATTATTTAAATTGGAGAAGAGGCTTTGAAATGGAGCTTGTATCTAACAAGGAAATAATTCAACGCCTGTTGATAGTTTCGAGCAACACAAATAATGAACTCACTACAGCGAACGTTTCTCAAGAACTTTATATTTTTGTTGTGCTTACTTTATACGTGTATGGGTGACAAGTTGCGGGGCCTATACCCGCATGAAATAAAATGTGATCTCAATATGTTATTAGTGGTCTGGGTGTAATGTGTGTGAATTTTTGGACAGACGAGATTCAACGAGTATGGTGAAGTATTGTGACCTCACGTCTTTTAAATTTACCTATATATAAACACAATTTCAAAATTCCTTGCTATGTATAAAAATGCAGGCGCAAAGTATAATTTGCCTCAAATCTTCCAATGGCATCATCTCATCTTTAACCTTACAATTCCAGACAACTTGGAGTCGGCTTCGGGTCAGAACGGGACGTACTGGGAGCCTGTCGTGGCTGGACATAGGCCTCGTCATGATTCACAAAGGGAACATCACAAAAAGAAACCAGTGAACGAAGAACGCGGTAAGAATTATAAACTCAATTATTACCTAATTAATAACGACACTCGAAAAATCTTTACAAAAAATGACATAATGTTCATGACGATGGATGATTGTTTATACGTAAATACTTAAGTCATTTTCATGTAATGTAGCTTACAAAGTGACTCGACTTGAATTAACACACCATATGAAGACTATTCAGTAGGTATTCTGGAAAAGCTAATAATGACAACATATTTGTGGCAAAATGTCTGTGGTTCATGTACAAACACAAAAAGGTATTACCCGATTTTACAATGTAGGTAATTCAAAGGAGAGTTAGGTATTAATACTATAAATGCTTGCACTGCGCTGCTTTCCCCCTAGGAATTCAATGTCGTATGTATGTATCTGTATCTGTATCTGTCATGTTTCTCTTATGAATGCACTGTGGTATGAGTAAGTTTTATATTATTTGTAGAATTAATAATGGTGTACTTATATGGAAATGTATCCGAAATTGGTCACAAATCTATGAGAAGCACAAATTTTTGTTATATCACGAGAGAATGTTTCATGTTACCTACCTACACAATACAACTCACGATCTTACCTTTGATATGTGGGACAATTAACCATGTATGTGGGTACTGTGTATTCAAACTAACTAAAAAAAACTCCTGTTCCTACAAATATTTTCCAATCACATAATTGCAGGTTCGAAACCGTCGGAAATAGATTTCTACGACGCCGAAAACAATAAAAACTCCGAAATAAGTTCGGTTGATAAGAATACAAATCCTTTAAGAAAGTTACCCATATTTCCTGTATTTCCGACCCATATCACACCTGAAGTTCAATACGGTAACGAAAAAGCCGATTCCAACAGTTTAAGAACACCAAAACAGTTTGAAGTATACGACGAAAATGACGATGGCAATGACTCTACGTTGAAGCCACATATTACTCAAAAACCCGAAAAACCTGTAGAAGTTTATTTCAATGAAGCGTTAACCACGACGACAGAGGTCATAAATAGAGCAGAAACTATAAATGATTTCACCACTCATGAACACAAACAAGTGACCAATAAATTAGTGGCGCCGTCGGCGTCTGTAAAAATGCATCAGTCTACCCACAAGGAATACACCCAGCCAATCCTGTACAACCGCGAACGCGATAGAGACCAGCGTGTGCCGCTCGAAGTACAAGAGTTTTACAGTCGCCGCCCCAATACTGACGACGTCAACTTCACCTCAGGTCATTCAAAGCTATTTGGTATATCTATAGAGGATGCAGAAAAAATGAAATCGACAACACAAAGCTCTTTGTACAACACCAGAGTGTCCCCCACGCTTCCGACGTGGCGTGATGGAGATGACACAACCACTAAAAAATACCCGTCCAATGCCTACTCAGAGGGTAAGTCTTTAATTTTTATTCCGAGGGGCATGCGGGACCATCTTTATAAATGAAGAAAATGGTACGTAGGTACTGAAGAAAACTTCATATCTTTCACATTGTTGTACCTATTTGTAGCAATAATGGGGGTTCGAGGGTTAATGTTTATTGTGAATGTGTAACTAATATACTTTTGTTTGTTTTATTGGTGTGATTTAAGAAAATAGAGAGCTATGGTACCAACTTGTCCATTACTTTTTTCAGTTCAGTGTCGTTCGCCTCGTTTGGCTCTCTGTCGAGGCGTCCTTCCGTACGACTTAGCAGGAGCGCCAGCGAAGATTGGAAATATGGAAATCACAACTCTCCTGCCCCAGATAGACTACTTGGTGTCTACTAATTGCAGTGACCGTGTCAAGCACTTCATGTGTGCCCTACTTGAACCTGAATGCAATGCCCCACCTTATCCTCTGAAAATGCCGTGCTACAGTCTTTGCAAAGGTATGTTAGCTCACTGAAGCTAAAACATTACTTTATTTATGAAGTAGGTTTACATAAGTGTAAGCGAAATATTCTTACCCTAATTTCAGCAATCTTGGACTCGTGTGACGGTCAAATTCCCGCTGAGTTGACTCCGGCTTTCAACTGCAAGCAGTACGCGCGTACCAACTGCGTGGAAGCAAAGACTCCATGCTACCCTCGTGAATTCGGCTGCGGTGACGGGTCCTGCGTTCCAAGAGATTGGATCTGTGATGGTACCAAGGATTGTTCCGCTGGAGAAGATGAAGCTACATGTGTTCAGTGCGAACAAGCCGAATACCGGTAATTATAATATCCTGCTATAATATTATAAATGCGAAAATTTAGGAGGATGTGTGTGTGTGTGTTTGTTACTCTTTCACATCAAAACTGCTGAAGGTATCCAGATGTTTGGAACAGGGTATATTATGATCTGGAATAGCTCACAGGCCACTTTTGATACCACGGCACCGCGGGCGATGTCGCTAGCGGGAACAAGTGGAAAATAATATTCTTGTTTTTAAATATATATACATGTTTCTTTTGATGGACCTGTCAGATCTTATACGGATTAGATCTTATAATAGTAAAACAAAGCTTAAAAATATGAAAAAATGTGTGTTTATTTACAGCTGTAGATCTGGTGGGTGCATCCTAAAACGTTGGCTTTGCGATGGCTACTCGGATTGTCCCGACGGCGACGACGAACATATTGAAACCTGTGGCACGCACAGCCAGCATACTTTTATAACCGAAACTCTAGAACCTAGTCAAGTGCAAACTGCTTCCGATATTCGCGAGCCAGGTGAAGAATCTGCAGGCTCCGCTCCGGCACCAGCCATCCGGAGACCAAACAGAGTACCTATTGGACAGAAGGTATCCAGTCACCGCAGTGGTAAGCTTTAACTTTATATTTTATTGTGTAATGAAAACTGAATGTCTAATATTTAAACTTTTTTATATATCTCTTATACAATGTTTTTCTTTTAGAAAATGAAAGCAGCAAGGAACTTCTTATTACGAGCGACAGTAATAATGGTTTAAAAAGAAATTACACGCGCCGGCCCCTACCTCCAAGGTTATCTCATTATCATCATAGCCATATGCGAGGCAAACATCAAGACACCAAAAAAGAGATTACAACAGAGAACAATGCAAAGGAAGTTGACGTGAAAAAGTCTGAGGGAGATAAGCCCACGCAAAAGACCTCGGAAAATGAATCGATCGAAGACGTTAACATGGGAGATCTAGGGTTTTTCGATGAATTTGAAAAGGAGGGCAAAGAACAAACTCATAGTGACACAAAAACAGGGCACCACGCGAAGCCAATGATGAAGTTTGGAGTACCCCCACCCAACCCGACAGCCCTCATAGAGGCGACAAAAGCCACTCATTTGGATAAACAATCCAACAATTTGGACAGAGTTATTGATGGCGCTGGACTCTTAAGGGTAAACATTATTTTAGCATTTTTCTTAGCATTCTTAGCATTCCTGTTTTTAGTTAGATAGGTACTTAGATATGCCCGTTGAAAATTACAATAAATCTTTTAAAATAAATACTAATTTACAAAAAAATATTGCAGAAAGCACAAGCTGCACAGGCGGCTGAAGCAGCAACAGATGATTCTTCTTTGAACGAGACCTACGTAAATGCGGATAAAGACGACACACTTATAGTACCTGCTATACCTAAGCGCTTTCAAACTTCTGTCACTGGAGCAGTCCAACCAGCTAATGTAGACGGCAGCGGGAGGACTACGCCAGGCGGCAGTGCAGGTGACTTTGGCAGGGGAGAATGGACACGCGCGCATACCTCACCTTGCCCGAGTGGTGAACTGCGCTGCGTGGACGGCCGCTGCATCACACTAGCACAACTCTGCGACGGCACCATCGACTGCTCTGACCATGCTGATGAAGACAACTGTTACACGTGATCGTACAGCCACCCTCTAGTGGTAAGTTAGGTTGTTAGTGAGTGTATCTCATTCAAGCCATGTCGTTATTGTCCCAGTGACTGATCAGTGTCCAGTGACCAATATAAGTACTGAGATTCTGTTTCGATTTGTATTTATTAGACTACATAACTTTCAGTTTAATTTGAAGACAATAAAATTTTATAAATCCATCACATCCAATACATAGTGGAAGAAGAAAATGTAGGTAACTAAATTTCACACTGCATAACTGGGCAACCTGTTAATTTCTTACAAAATGAACTACTTGGTTTGAAGATCCATCATTGGACCTCACTAGCACTGGATAAATACGTCATCGGTACGAACCACATGTCACGCCCTTAAGTTATGTTTTAAAATAGTATACGCTGTGATAAAGCAATGCATGAATAAAGTGGAACATACTCACATTCTGCCGGTGAGGCAGAGTAGTCTCACTTGTGCTACCGTCCATTTTTGTAGTTAGGTATTCTTGTAAGTACCTGTAGAGCTAGGATCTATACCTATATATATATAGACGTAGAAAACATTAAATATGATTATTGTGAATGCTTTGGTTAACATGTAAGTAATTGTATTTTTAAATAAAATTTATTATGTGTATTAACGTATACCGTTAATTCAATATATTGTAGTACCTAATTATTGTTCTCTCTACAACCGTCCGTGAATTTTGTAGACAAATACTGAACAAGTATTATATACACCAACAAGCTTTATACTGACATTAATATTAACATTATACTAACGTGTAGAAATCAGTTTCATTTCATTTCATTTTATTGTAAATAAATACTTTTTCGTTTCATTATCATAATCAAAAACATCAAAAATGTTCACTTAATTAATTATAAATTATTCACTTTCTTTAAAGTTTACTTGGATACTTGTACACTTAAAACATTGTAGTTATTAATTATTACTCGTATCGTAGAACCGAGGGGTGTGCATTTGTAAATAGGACTAACAATGAATTATTTATAGTAATAAGTATTTATATGAAGATAAAATGTATTGATTAGAATTAAGGAGTTAATGCATTGTTTTATTTTAATGTAAGTTTTGTCAAGTGTTGTTCTAAGATTACCCACTTAGTGGTAAATTATATTGCTTTTCGCAAAATGGTTTTGCTTCAAAAAGAACTGCTTTTTACAAAAATTGTAAGTCTAAGACGAAAATTAAGTTTATGTATAGATATTATTAGATAGGTATCTTCTAATAAAATAAGTCTTAGATAAAAAACCTCAATCACGAATTTATGATTTTTATATTGTGTATTTTGTATTTAGTAGACATAGACAAATCCGAAAGAAATGTAACTTTAAAAACGTGTAATTAAATAAATAATACTGTTTGTATCACCCAATATGTCGAAATTCAAAATAATTATATTTTAAAAAAAGAATATAAGAGAGAGTTTCACTCTTTGATTCGGAATATTTTAATAAGTTTTAAGAACACAAGAAATCATGCTAGATTGTACTCGAATCTAGATCAATACTGTGCCTAATTGTTCCATTCGATACATATTATAATGAGTAATCCGCCCGTAATATTGTATTTTTATTAATATGTACTTTTAACTAATAAATAGAAGTAGTTTTTAATATTGTCTATTGCTTCGTATTATCCAAAGTAATGTCATAATAAATAAATAAAATTACCCTGCTTAACTCAACGTTACTGAGTTCCCCTCCATTTTTTATTTGTTAAGAAGTTAATGGAATTTATAATGTAAACCAGTTTACGTATTCAAGTTATATATTGTTTTCATTGTACTGTTACTGTATAAAAATGATTAGGATTTAATGTTATCATTTTTATGATAATAAATAATATGCCATGTTATTCTAAATTCGTTTTATTTCCAAACTTGCATCGGTGACTAGAAGAAAACTTATGCTTTTGTTAACTCGTCCAAGTAAGCAGTAATTAAGTGTTTAGGAAATAAGGCTAGGTTCTAGTTTATTCTAAGTTATTGTATTAAATAGCATCTCTGTCTAGGCACCAGAACTGGAGCTTTTTATAGGCACAATTGCAGTCAGTGTAATATAATTTACAGCCCGTTAAAGGTGAGGGTAAAACAGTTATACTTATAGCGTAGAATAGAATTACTACTTACTTAATATTTGAAAGTTGCATTGCATTTGACTTGTCTACGTAGGCTCGTAGGCACGAAAATTATTACGAATCATTAATAACTTAATTTAATAAACCACAGAGGTTTTTCTAATTATTGAAAGACATTAGTCTACTGGCAGAAATGTTACAAAAATCTATGGATGCCATTTAAGTTTATTTTTCATTTCTTTTTATTTCTATCTAATGACAATTTATAATTTGTTTGAAGAATAATGGCCAGTATTACCTTTTTGTAACTTGGACTATGGAGGTTGTACCTATGTATGAAAATAAAAAAAAACTTGCAACTGTCCTGTAATATAGCTCTAGAACCCCTTTTCACAGCGCCTGCCGTTTTTCACTTGCATTCCATTTAGCGTGTAACTTTATGAAAAAATAGGTATAGTAGGAGATCCCGCCTTGAACGACCTTCACCGAGATGCTTATTTGATGAAACATATTTTATATTCAATTTAATATGTCAATAATTATATTCCGTATGGGTTGCCTAATAAATTTCAGTCCAGAACATGACTAATTAATAATTTAAAAAATATTTTTTTTCAAATGTTTCACCGGTTTGACTATTAAACAAATTCCATTTCAATCGAAAGTATGAAGCCCATAGAATATGGAAACGTTAGGTTGCCTATTGTATTCCAGTCATAACTCTCGGGTTGCCAGGTCTAAACAGGTAAATTGATAGTAGGATTTTGCAACGGTCTGATAATTTAATCAAATTTAATTAAAAATAAAGATTATTTAATTATGAACACGGTAAAATAGGGTTGCCTGCGAAAAATCAGTCCTGAATTAGGGTTGTCGAATTTTAAAAAGTGAAATATTGCCGCGAGTGAATAGGTAAGACTGAGAGGTCCCAAGCAACCGTTCCGTGCGTTAGAAGAGGACAGAGCATAACAGCTGCTTTTTAATGCTGCTACTGCTATTTTTGTGTCATTAACAGAAGCTGCTGATATTTTCATTGAAGATAAAATAAAAATAGTTCAAGAATTTATAGCTTGTATGTACATATGGGATTAAGAATTGCACTAATGTGAATAATGCAAGATATCGCATTATTATGAAAAATTACTCTGCTAAAGAAGACAGTGAGCAGTTTCTAAAAAAAACACCTCCGGGTGGGTCTCAAATAACGGCACGAGGGGTTACCATCGGCGTCGAGACGACGATGAAGTACCCAAAAAATTTTTATTAAAAAAAATGAAAAGCAATTAAAAAAATCACTGTTTATATAAAGAAATATATTTTTTTATTATTCAGCTCCTGAGTCATCGGAAATAAAGCTTAGATCTTCGACACCTGCACCTTCTTCGTCATCTCTCTCTGTTTCGCTTCTTTCGACAATATCATCTATTCTTAAAGGTGTATGATCCCCAATGAATCCTCGTGGTTTTAAATATTCATCTAAGTACCAACCACAGCTCTCAGGTTTAAGTTTGATACATATTGGATCTGTTGCATTCAGCCACATCGAATTTACTTAAATAGTTTGTAAAACTTTTTGTGGTAATGATATCCAGCACGGAGGTATGGAGTTAGAGTCAAAGCTTTTGTTTTTTTTAGAAACTGCTCACTGTCTTCTTTAGCAGAGTAATTTTTCATAATAATGCGATATCTTGCATTATTCACATTAGTGCAATTCTTAATCCTATACATACAAGCTATAAATTCTTGAACTATTTTTATTTTATATTCAATGAAAATATCAGCAGCTTCTGTTAATGACACAAAAATAGCAGCAGCAGCATTAAAAAGCAGCTGTTATGCTCTGTCCTCTTCTAACGCACGGAACGGTTGCTTGGGACCTCTCAGTCTTACCTATTCACTCGCGGCAATATTTCACTTTTTAAAATTCGACAACCCTAATTCAGGACTGATTTTTCGCAGGCAACCCTATTTTACCGTGTTCATAATTAAATAATCTTTATTTTGAATTAAATTTGATTAAATTATCAGGCCGTTGCAAAATCCTACTATAAATTTACCTGTTTAGACCTGGCAACCCGAGAGTTATGACTGGAATACAATAGGCAACCTAACGTTTCCATATTCTATGGGCTTCATACTTTCGATTGAAATAGAATTTGTTTAATAGTCAAACCGGTGAAACATTTGAAAAAAAATATTTTTTAAATTATTAATTAGTCATGCTCTGGACTGAAATTTATTAGGCAACCCATACGGAATACAATTATTGACATATTAAATTGAATATAAAACATGTTTCATCAAATAAGCATCTCGGTGAAGGTCGTTCAAGGCGGGATCTTAGACTAGTATGTTTTTTTTTAAATCGTTGCCCCACACTAGGATTTTTTTCTCGTGTCGTGGGTGCGCTTACTAACATACAATATCACATTCACATGACACCCAGACCCGGAACAACAATCTGTGGATCACACAAAGAGTTGTTGCGTGCGGGAATCGAACCCGCGAAACGTTGCGCGGGTTCGATTCGAGAAACATAAATAAAAAAAAATTACACCTAAACATTTTCTTTTTTAAAGAGTTTTATGGGGCTAATTTTAATGTAGGAGCCTCTTCCATGGAAATGTTTAGCAATGAAATTATGATGTTTATAAAATACGGAATGCAAAATATATTAAAACCTATTTCTTGTTGATTCTATGAAATTATGTCCATTTTTCATCACTTGAGTAGATAATTTGAAAAAAATAACTTTCAGTGCTGGCAAGAATGTAATAAAAATCTAAGGATGCCATTTGAGTTGTTTTTCTTTTCTTTTTTTATATTTCTAATGACATTCTATGAAGATCTTAAAGAAAGATTGCCAGTCTTATACTCAACTATCACAATATTCTCAAGATGTAAAGGAGGTTGTATTATAATAGCAACGATGATTGTTCTGAAGAAATGATAGAAGCTTTGATCCAAGCAAAAGATAGTGGTTATGTTTTTTGAGAGCTGGCTCTACATACCTATTACCAAAAGCTAAAGTATAGAGTAAGCTAAAGTATAAAGTATCTATAAAAAACTCTTAACGCCTACTGTTTTTCACATAATATTATTTAGTTGCACTACGTAAAAATTTTGTATATCGCGAGCTGACCTACGAACCTACAGTTCGATTTCGTAAACGCAAAACCCTAGCTTTTAATAGCGTTTCGGTTCGTAAACATTCTAAATATAGACTGAAATCGTACACCACGTCGTATACCGAGAACTTAAACACAACTTGGATACCTAAATTTTACGCTCAGTGATCTCCTAGTCATAGATGAGTCATCTGTAGCTATCTATTCAATATCGCAGTGTCTCAAAATATCTAGCACATTAGAACAAGCAAGAAATACTTATATCGTGTTAGGAATAAGATTCAGTTTTCAGTGGTGCGAGTTTTCCTCGTCGACCTTACAGTTACTTAGTTTATTTTAGATTTTTTATATGTTTTTTCATTCATAGTGTGATTACCTCATCAGGCGGCGCGGCGCTACCGTTCGGTTTCGGAGTTCTGTTCGTTTTGCTTTAGTCATTTCGCACTTGTTTTGAGGTCGGCTGGCTTCGTCGTGTTTCCTTATCCAATGTAAGGTTGTCGTTCACTAAACCGACTGATATTGTATATACCTATATAGCATATTTCCTTCATTGTTTTTTACAATTCTGTCAGTTTTAAGAACTAGTTATGACTCAACAATTGATACTTTTGGGTCCATTGAGAAAAACTAGCGTTTTAATCAGAAAACCTGAATAGGTAGTTGTTTAGGTAGGTCTTGAGATTTGAGAAAAACTAGGTCTCAGAATCAATCAGAGGATTGGAGGATTTGAATCCAAAAATAGTTGTTAGATACTTTTAGTAAGTTGGAAAAAGCTAGATTAGTTGATTTCGTGCTTTCGTAGCAAATTCATAACCAGTGACTACCTCAACAGAGCTTAACACAGTAAAGGTAAAATAATAGTTAGTCACTTGTTTGCGTCATTGGAATATTAGCACAATAGGTCTAGTACGAATGGGGAATAAACAGGCCCAGTGTCATCGACCGCTACCCACCGGGCGGCAGGCGGCAAGCGGCAGGCGGCATGGCAGGCTGGTAGAAAGCGGAGTGAGTCACCCGTGGCCCAACACGTAGCCACTCCAGGCTGCCTTGACGAAACGGATATCTCATACCTACATATATACCAAGGACGTGTTTGTATATTACGATATTATTTAGTATAGAGAGAAAATAAATGGACTGGCGGTGGCTGGGTAACTGGCTGCCGCGCAACTCGCACGGATCAACTCTTTGTGGGATCTACGAAGTGTTGTTTTTTTATAGAATAGGAGGCAAACAAGCAGACGGATCACCTGATGGTTAGCGATCTGCGCCGAACATGGACACCAGAGACCAGAGGAGCCACAGGTAATCATATGTGAACTTGTATGTGTCTAAACGCACCCACGACACAGAAGAAAATCCTATAGAGCGGGGCAAAGTTTGATTAAAGAAAAAAAAACTAGAGACCTAATCAAATTACCCTTTCGATTTTTAGACTCCACTCCTATCGATCGACGATGCGTAATGTGTTATGGAGTCACAAATAAAAATATATATAAAATAAATCTGGAAATACTTTTATCTGAACATTACCTGAAAAATCTATTTGTTTTTTCAAAGGTTTAAGAAAACTTTTCAGAAGGTCCCGGTCTTCTCACGGTATGTGTGCCTTTTTAAAGCAAAGAGGTAAAATTATGAAAAAACGCTCTCTGACTAGGTATAGCATTGGTTTAGTGGGACAGAATTTTCTTAAGGCTCGTTGAGAGGATATTACCTTTATTGTTGCAAAGAAATACATTCTCTCGAAACAATGGCTGGTCGGCCATTCTATGCAGAACGTGGACAGGTTGCAGCCGTTGCAGGGAGACGAATGAAAGTAAATAAACATTGCATTCGTGAGGTAAACAAACTTTGAGACTAGTTTGTCCACTCCGTGCCTAGGTATAGCGAATGCTTTCTAAATACGTAGGCCGAACGTTTATCTAATCAATGCCCGAGTGCTCACATAAATTGTCATCAACATGAATTATGTCAAGCCCTATTGTTTATCTCGATGAGTTTTATAAATAGGTACCTATTGTGCAGTACGTAAGTAACTATTGTAATATTCACCGGCCAGCTATGAATGGAAAGAAAGGCTGAGGTAATAGATGTAGCTGTTCTGAGGTTTCAGTAGTTCAATTGTATGAATAATTAGGTATTAATTTAACTTTAGGGCCGTGGGGCCCAAGTGCACATCTTCTTTACAAAGATATTGTAAGGAGGATGGTTGACACTTCAGGTGATCGAAGGGCTGGCTTCTACCTTGGACAAAGGTTCAGCATTGCCATTCAACGCGGTAATGCTGCCAGTCTTTTGGGCACCCTACCTCACGATAATGATGAGGACAATTTTATTTTTGATGCCTTATTGTAGCGTATTTATTTATTATTACTTTTTTTTAAGGTGTAAATATTTTAGTTTATAGTTATTTATATTTTAAGTTGTATATATTTTCATTTAGTTATATTTAACTGGTATAGTTACCATAAAATGAGTTTTGTAACGATGACACTTACCTATTGGTAGTAGTAGTGGTTATAATGTAATGTACGTACCAGTACCTAAAGGAAAAAGATCTAAAAGGTAGGTTTACAATAATTGGTAAACAATAACATTTGAGCCGAAATTCCACTAAATTGAGTTGAATAAATACCCATGGTGTTACAAAATTAATTATGTGCCTATGCACATAATTAATTTTGTGTACCTATGAAACTATTATATAAGTACCTACATAAATAATTCCTAATCATACAGATGAAGTTAGATAACTACATAAATATTCTCAAATTCATCATGCTTCCTACTTGCCTTAGTATTATGGGGCATCGTAGTTAAAATGGTAAAAGTGTTGCAATGTATCGGCACGCGAAAGGCGCATGCGCTAGACAAGTGTTTCCTAATCTAAGATCCGTACTTATGCCAGTACAATCAACTGAGTCAGCTATCATAGCTCACAGGTAGAGGTGGGAACTTAGTCTGATCTAAGTGCTCAAACCGTTGGCCATTAAAATGTGGTTCACGAAACATTTGTCTTAGTTCCATTTTCTTTTCATCTCCTTTCCTGCTTACTTGCAAAATGGCAGCTGCAGATTGCAAGAATATACGGTCGTAATTGACATTTATGAGGGTGATCCAGTCTGGGAGAATTAGAATTAGAAAAAGGAAGAAAATGGTCCGGAATTGAATGAAACTACCTAGTAAAGTGTTCCAAATTTTCAGTAAAAGATCGGAGCCTTGAAACTTGTCTAGTAAGTAAATGGCAATAGAGTCACGTGTTTATCTGCCTAACTCCTTCGGAGAATAAAAGTCGAGGGACGAGATGTTATGTCGTCTTCATTGATGTCTTAACGGCTAATTAGTTTTGCCTACCTCTATATGTACTGCTGCGTAGGTTCCTCGATCCAGACGTGTTTTATTTACCTACTTATTACCGAGATGTCGTAATAACCACTTCTGGAAAAATATTATAGTTTCTTTGATTAACTTCGCAGATAGTTAGGTACGTACATATCTGACAATATTTGCAGATCTCATGAGTTTGTGAGTCATCGTCGTCTTATTGCGAAGTTAGAGCGTAGGGTTGCCTCTACTTTAACATGTGTTAAATAGACTATACATATTTTATTACTTATGTTTTCATTATTATAAAATGGAACAAAACACCATATATTATTAATTTTACAGATAAGTTGATCATCCTACTATAGTATTATTAACTGAATTTATTTCTACAGGTACCTATCCACGCAATTATACCAAGCTTGTTAAAAATACTAATTAAACTAGGAACTTATTTGAAAAGAGAAATAGGTTTACCTTGTAGTTGTTATGTAAGCACTCTAAATGTAGCTTTTAATTTAATAAACACGCCAGAGAGAGCCTATCTTGTTTAATTAAATCAAATTCGACTATGTGTACACTGTAGATAGGCTGCAATTTGGGACTTCCCTCTTAGTCTTGAGTGTACCTACTGTCAAAGATTTCACTTGAATGTCTGATATTCTACGGAATGAAAAAATAAAGGATGATTTTTAATTATTGCAAAAAAAATATCTTCACGACCCTATATGTTTAAGTAGAGTAGGTTGACACCGATACCTAATTGTCTACAAATTCGGTGCAATAGGTCGTTTTGAATAAATAAGTTACTTTTTTACCTACTTACTTACCTATCAGCAGATATTTAATTTTACTAGGTACTTCCTTATTTCCACTCCACCTATTTTTCATCCTGGTTATCCAAGCACTAAGATACTAGAAGCATAGCAAGAGATACAACTATTAAAGACTACGATTTATTTATAAGAACTGTATTACAAAAAACCATTGAGAAGTCTAGATACATTGCCTGCTATGTATTTCTATAACATAAGTAAAGGCAATTTATGTCTTTATTTACAAATTACAATAATGAAGCACTGTTGTGGGGGAATGCGTACTACATAAAGCATTGTAGAACTGAGTACGTTGGTGATTCATTTCTCGGAATTGACCTTGCTATGAGTCATTCGTTGGAAGGCAGAGTCGGGGATACCGCGCCTGTCTGCCGGCTGCTTGCTAGACGCACTCCGCTCACCGTGCTGCGCTTTTCACGAAATATCTTGTGTTAACATAATAATAACCTATATTCGTGTTAAATATGTGTGTGAACAAAAAACGAAGAAGATTTAATTAAAAATTCTTCTTAAAAATATTTGTAAATATTTTTGTGTTTCCGAAGTTGGATATCATGATAACAACCATGACGTCATTCATATTATTGAAGGTAAGTTATAATAACTAGATAATTAATAAATACCTAAGATTTACTGATAAATATTGTAAAATTATTTAAGAATTATAATGTGGATGAATCATCCTAAAAACTCTTATCAGTTTCTTATTTGACCATTGTAGTTAGTCTGACGTTTACATTTTTATGCGTATAAATAGAAAACGTAAGAATTCCAGATATAGCGATCTCTGTTTTACACGTAAAATTGTCATATGTTAGAAAGAGATAAACTCTACTTGTATGGGTATTTTGAATTGGTTGCTTACTCGAATATGATTTTGTACTACGTAAGAAAGAAATAGATATAAACATGGCGAACTGCTTCTAAAAGTTTATGCCGAAACGTATAGAAGACTCGTTTAGAATTCTAATAAATAAAGTGAATTGAAAAAATATTCCATATTAAATATGACAAGTTTGTGAAAACTTTAGATTAAAGAAACTGAACAAAATCAAACCATAACTTGTATGAGAAATGATCAAGAAAAGTTTTGTGTCTGTGAAAATACTTGTTGAACAAGTTTTTAATTAACTTTTCAGACAAACTCTTTTTTATTGAGAATGAACAGAGAAGATAATGTTAACTGGTTTCATGGGAAAATATCTCGGGATACGGCTGAGAAGCTCTTAAAAGAAGGTTGGTAGTGATTACTGTTATTTGTTGTTGTTCAACTAATGTTTTTTGTTGTTGTTGACTTGAATTGTATTATAACTTGCAGAAGGAGAGGATGGTGTGTTTTTAGTGCGTGAAAGTAACACTTCCCCTGGAGATTATGTCCTCTCAGTTTTACATCAGGTCAGTTTTAAAAGTTTTTATAACCTCAAAACAGAACTTGTTTTCCTGTGTTAGACCATCAGTCTTATTAGTTAGCTTTGTCTTTACAATAAAGATAATAATAAATCTATTCAATAATTTCTAACTAAGGTCTTATAAGTTTTTTAGCAAATTTACTGAATTTTGTAATTTGTTGTGCATAAACTAATAGATACAGATTAACATTAACATCTTTTCTATAGGGGGAAGTTGTGCATTATCAAATCCGAAGACATGGCGAAGATGCCTTCTTTTCGATTGAAGAGCACACTACAGTTCATGGACTGGACACACTCATACAACATTACCGAGGAGACTCCAACGGACTGGTTACCAGACTATCTGTGGTCTGCAAGGGACAGCCACCACCTCATGAGTCTCGCACACAAGGAACTACCAATCTATTACACAGGTTAGTATATCTTACAGTTATCTAAAAAAAAAAACTGGGTATGTCACATACCCAGTTTTTTTTTTTAAATTTAAAGTCTTTACAGTCAATATCTTTATGAATATCTCAAACGACTGGACCGATTTTGATGAATTTTTTTGTGTGTGTTCAAGGGGATCTGGGAATGGTTTAGATTCACAAATCAGCCGGGCAATTGGCGCTACAGTCGATGTTTAGGGTAATTATCCTAAACAACTGAACTAATTTGAATGAATTTTTGTTTATACATTCAAGTGGATACGCAGGACAACGTCTGTTGGGTCTGCTAGTTTTATCATAATAGTATTTTTAACAAATATGTAGTTCTAATGTATGGAAAATTTATGTCCCGCTAAAATATTCCCAAATAATTAATAGACATTAAAAAATTCGTCAAGCAAGTACTTACAAAGTCTCATCTGCAGCTAATATTTCACTGTTAATCGTTATTTAATTGAACAAAAGAGTTCAAATATCGTAAAGACATTGACACTCAAACTTACAACAATTCTGTCATATAACTGCTTTATTATTGTGGCTCCCCAAATTAATAATGTATTCTTAAAATCCAATATGAATAGGACATTAGAACTCATAAGGAAATACAAATTTAGATTTAACTAACAATGAATTACAGTATATGGATTAGAACATGCATAATGTTACTAGTAATCATAAATCAAAACAATGAATATAATACTAGGGTCCTTAATTCATAAACAATAGGTACTATACTATTAATTAAACAGGAAACCTATGGCTATGGCCCCTCGATAACTTTTTTTCATTCTCCCACACTAGTATGTGAATAAACAGCTCAAGAAAAAAACAAATTGATCAAAACATGCAATGCCAATTAGAGATAGTAGATAATGGGTTTATCTAGTTGAAGAAGGAAGTTCTATTAAGATGAGAGCCACCAAATTGCCCTTAATTTATCCCTCTTGTTTTATTACCAAGTTGAATGGAGATACCAACATTCTTTCATCATTCATACTGTATAGTTTTTGTTTCTATTCTCTTGCTACGGACAATTACAAGGATCAATTACTATTCATGATTCAATAGTCAATACATATACTTATATTATGAAAATAATATCTATTATTTGCAAGTTTTGCTATTTCATTGTGATTATGTAATCATGATCATCATCAATCATTACTTTCTTATAGGTATAATAAAGAGTATAAAAAGTATAAGTACAACATCTTTTTTTTTAAAACCATTGATTAATTAATGCGGGGACCTCACACAGTGTTTTTGTTCATTGTCTTTATTTATTTATAAAATTCAAGTCCATTTTAAGAATAATGACCATGAGTAATATTAATTTCTTATTAACTTTAATGGTTTACCTTGTTATAAAATTGTATATTTTTAAGTTTATTCATAACACACATTGTCTATAAAAGGGGTTATTGCACTGATTTTCACTTGCATAGCAGTTTATAGGGCTAATTCAATACAAGTGCTGACAAGCTTATTGACAATTTCCTGTTGAGCACATTGTTCAATATGTTTATCCAATAAATATGAAGAGAAGGCCAGTAGCTGGGAGTGCGGTGACCATTTACTGGTCGCATGATAATGTCTACAACATGATGCTATGTGTATGATATCAAAATTCTTTGCATGTTTTATGACAAGATCTGTTTGCAATGTACGCTGATTGGAATACCAAATGTGGTCCGAAATAATTGAGTCAAGATGTCACATGCCATGCCCACTTTAGTAATCACATTCTTAAGTCTTGTGTAAACTATTCTGCTAGGAATATTTTATTTACACTTGAGTCATGAGTTTTTATTTAGTTTGCATATTTAGCAGTAGGGTAATTAGTTGCTGCATTAGATGTTGCAGTTTTGAACTGAAAAATAATGAAATAACTTTTAGATATTTGTTATGAATGTTTTATAATCTTATGTGCTAGGTAACAATACTTAAAATGTTTATCACTGTCCTGAATAATATAAAAACATTGTCAACAAAAGTTACTAAGTATGTTTTGTTGTCTTTACATGTATTACATGCTAGTATAGTAATTTTATATCAACTAATTCAATTCAATATTAGTTCAAGTGTGGATTAGGTATCACTGAAGTGTGAAGCTGACATTAGTCATATCTTCAGAATGTAGATGGTGTCTGCCATGATGACAACTATTAACTCAGAGCAGATACATCTGTGTTTGGCAATGATGAATCATTGTTTATAATAATGATTCATTGCAGCACATTGTTCCTTATTGATATTTAAATATTCTTGTGAGCTATTATCGATTTCATTGTCATAATTGTGTTCTCATTAGCTATGGTAATGTGCTTTAAATATAATGATTTTTTTAATGTCGATTTTTTATGTTTGTGGGAGTGAAATGGTGTACAAAACAAACTATAATAATTATGTTATTAGATAAAAAAATCAGTATGACTACCCTTGTTGGTCAAGGTTGCAAAAAACGTAGCCGAAAAAGACTTATAAGGTTGTGATTTTTAGCGTCTATTAACACCTACAATTTTGTTATGTATACCGAACAATAATTATAAGTTATTTATCGTTTACAGAGCCACAGAGGCCGGTGATTTCAACGTAGTATCTCAATTACTAGCGTGTGGTTACCGCAACCGCGACGCTAAGAACCAGGATGGACAGACAGCGGTTCACATCGCCGCGAGGTCTGGCAGAGACAGTATACTTGCCAAGCTGATTGAGAGTGGAGCCACTGTTAATGTTAGAGACTCATTTGGATACACGCCTTTACATGTAAGTTGAAATAACAATTATACTAATATTTTTAAAGTCGGAAATCATGGCACAATTAAATTGTCTCTAGTGTTGCTGGTATACTTAAGCTATGGTATCCGATCAACTTAAGCTATGGTACCAATTATGATCGGCGATCATCATTGGGTGGACCCATATGGTTTGTTGCTTAAAATAGCATTAGAAAAAGAGAAAATTTAAAGACATGTTCAATTGAGTGTAAGTTTAAATGCGAAATAGTAGTGGTCTCGTCATAAAAAAAAAACATTCATAGCAAATCGAATATGAGATTTGAGTTAGGCTCCTTGATTGTATAGGCTTTAATTGTTTTTATTTTTCACAGTATACATGCCAGAACAACTTGCCAAGTACGACAGAGCTCTTGATAACTAAAGGCAATGCTAACTACCAGATGAGACATGCGCCCACCGGAAAGGTGCCTCTACACGACGCCGCGCAGAGAGGACATATTGAATGCATCAAGGTACGTTATCTAATATTTCTTATTAGAATAGTAATTGACCAGTTAGCTTGCATAATAATTATGTAATAAACTATTGATTGAATCACTTATTGTATGCAAAAGAAGTTCTTTAGACACAGATCGATTTGATTAAATCTCTGCTATTGTTAACGTCAATTCCAAACAGATTTAAGACTCATCATATCCATACACGTGTCAAGTCTTACTTCATTCGAATAGGGCGCCACATGTCAAGTACTAACATATCAAATAGTATTAGATTCATTAGATTTGCTAATATGTAATTGAAACAAAAGTAAACAAACACGGAAGACGCACGTAGTACTGTCATGGTCGTCCGAGAACACCTGTTTGTGCAGCTTGCATGCAGATTAACTTTCTGCCTCGTGATCTACATGCGAAACTGAATGTGGCCCAAATTGGATTTGTAAATAAAACCAACATTACAATGGATACTTTGTAGTGATTACATTTATATTCACAGAGATATTATTTAATTCTTTGAGAGTTCGAGTGATAGAGGAGGACAAAATCATATTTACGAGTTTACTTGCTGTGATATACAATACGGCAATGCTTCACAGGTTCTACTGAAACTCAAAGCCCCAGCGCACGCAAGAACTTTGGCGCACGACACGCCAGCTGACCTGGCCAAACATTATGGACACACAGAATGCTATCAATTACTGAGTAAGTACCCTTCGGAGGATATTTACACCTACAAAAAGAATTGCGTTATTTATTTAGTCCACTAGTATCTCTTGTATTGTGTCTAGTATCTCTTGTATATGACTGCACGGTTGGTGCGGTGGCTGGGCAACCGGCTGCCGTGCAACGTGTCGCGGGTTCGATTCCCGCACGGAACAACACTTTGTGTGATCCACAAATTGTTGTTTCGGGTCTGGGTGTCATATTGTGTATGTGAACTTGTATGTTTGTAAACGCACCCACGACACAGGAGAAAATCCTAGTGTGGGACAACGTTTAAAAAAAAAATTGTTTCTATGTCTATATTTATGTTAATTTTTCCAGAAAATCACCAACCAGAGGTTCCAAAAACATCGAAAAAATTGTGGTATCACGGCACCCTGAACAGGGAGGAAGCTGTGAAGACATTGGAGGAATACTGCAAACATCACAAGGTCGAGGGCAAGGCTTCCGATGGTGTCTTCCTCGTACGTTACAGCGAGAGACATACCGGAGCCTACGTGCTGACGATGCTTAGCGAAAATACACCTTATAATTTTATTATTAGGAAAGAGGTACGTTTTGCCTCCTTACTTAAGTTTGTGTATAACGAACTACTAATAAACAAGTAGAGATGGAGATTTTATGATTTTGACTTCCGAAATTCAGCATATCAATGTTTTGTTTTAATTTCAGGCAAGCTGGTTGTTTATTGACGACGGTCCTTACCTAGAATCTCTAGAGCGACTGATCGAGCACTACAGTACTGTGCCCGATGGTCTGCCTACCCGCCTTACCACCGCAGTGCCGCCCAAACCTAAACCACCTCTACCTGAAGTAAGTATACAAAGAAAAGTCAGGTTGAAGTTACTGACGTCTGAATGTTCTAAGTGCTAATTTCAACATCTTCATCAACAGTTCTCCACAATGCCACGGACCAAGAAGTTAGCGTCGAGCCGGGCCGCCATGTCCAACCAGTCGCTGTCTCTAGTGAAGCACGACATACTGAGCGACAAACAGATGTCGGCACAGACGTCCCCGCCCACCTCCATACAGTCCAACAACAACATGTTCGAACTACTCACAAGGAACTTGTCATTCTCGTCCGACTTCAATAACGATAGTATTAATAACAACGATGATTCGTTAGATGACAATGACACTTACAAAGTGCCTGCCAACAATAGTGCCGTTGTTACATTAGCTGAAAATTACAATGAAATATCTATTAACTCTGATGGCCAGCTTTCCACACTGCAAGGTGAGCTTTTTCCTATTATTTCAAGTGATTTTTGTCGAATCTACTTAAAATTTTCAACAACATATCGTCTTTTCCTTCAAAAATTATAATAAAATTTCTAACAAATAATAATTGCAATTGTCAGAATTTATCCCAATGAGCGAGCTAACACTGGGGGCGGTGCTGGGCGAGGGTGAGTTTGGTTCAGTACTGCGAGCGACGTACAGTCCGGGCGACCAGCCGCCGCAGCCCGTCGCAGTGAAGACGTTACACATGCAACACACAGACACCAACAAGAAGGAATTCCTCTCTGAAGCCAAGGTCATGATGTCCGTACGACACCGCTGCATTGTCAGACTCATTGGAGTCTCCTTGGTGAGTTGCTAAACCTATATCATCGTTATCTCACTATCAGTGATACACCTACTCACAAAGCGAGATAAAATTCTTGTAACATCGGTTTATTGATTGATTGCCAGACATACCATGTGTTACACAAAAATGTCAATGAATGTGAAATACGTAAACCGTCAGAAAGTTTTCCAGTGTAGCCACTTTCCTTTGTGTTAAAATGACAGTGTTTGAGTTATGTATCTTATTTATTTGAACATAATCAAAATTACTGTACAATTTGTTCTTATTGTGTTATTAATTAGGGTTTCGTACTCATTTCATGCAGGGCCCACCATTAGCAATGATACAAGAGTTAGTGCCTTTGGGGTCTCTACTAGAATACCTCGTGCGACACCCAGACAAAGCGTCGCCTGGATATGAACTGCGACTGTGGGCGTGCCAAGTGGCGGCCGGTATGCGGTACTTAGAGAGACGTCGTTTTGTACACCGCGACTTAGCTGCGAGGAACATTCTGCTAGCTAGCAGGTAAATTTTATGTCCCCGTTTACTTACCAATTTCTGAGTATTGGCGGGTCTCCATAGTATAACCCAATATCAGGCGTAAATATAAATACAATACCTAACCCTAACAAAATGGTTTTTTTAGACATCAAGCAAAAATAAGCGACTTTGGTCTATCGAGAGCTCTTTCGACGGACAGTTCGTACTACAAGGCGAGTCGCGGTGGTAAATGGCCCATCAAGTGGTATGCGCCGGAGTCGTACAACTATGGCACGTTCAGCCACGCCAGCGATGTATGGAGCTACGGTATCACGCTCTGGGAGATGTTCTCCTACGGGAAGCAACCTTATGGAGACATGAGAGGCATTGAGGTACGTCATTTGTCTTACTTAAAATTTATTTTTAATAAGCCAGTTTTAAGCAAATCAGTTGTCTCATACCAAATTGTGTTGTCTTATACTATCACTAAGTTCATCGACATCCTTAAACTTAAGATTACCTTTTTTGACTAGAGAATGAAACCCATTATCCATTAGTCGTATTCGCATAAAGTAACGAATAAGTCAGTAATACTCACGTCTTAATATTTTAACAGGCTATACAAGTAGTGGAAAGCGGGAAACGTTTGGAAAGACCAAAGGATTGTCCTGATGAAATATACCAAGTGATGCTCGACTGCTGGGCGTATAACCCAGACGTGAGGCCCAGTTTCAGTCAACTAGTCGACGTGTTCTCACAGCACCCTGACTACGTCAACATCAGCCAACTAGCGCTGGAGAACGAAGATGCTAATGTTTAAGAAGCACTCTAATGAAATGTAGGTATTTAATTTATGTTAATTTTAGTGTACAGACAGACATGTTAAGCTACTTCAAGCTGCCAATTTTACGACCAATAAACTAATATCTTACTTTTGTTCTTTTGCCTAAACCAGTATCTTGCATATTACGGCACCTTTTATGCCACCGTTTCCTTTATTGGTTAGCCATGAATATAGCGTATCTTTTTTTCACTTCCCCGTCAATTTTACCGTTATTAATAGATCTTCGACGTTATTGCAAAAAATTAGAGTTGAAAATCTCCTAAACAGTATGGAGTAGCTTGATAATTAGGTGTCTGTATTCGGTACGTAGGTTCACTAGAGTTTATATTTAGGGCTAAGAACTATGTTTCAGACGAAAATCTTGGCGGAAAACCTGGAGGTTCTTATTTGTTTTGTCAATTTTTTATTTAAGTATACTTAGGACCGTCACAGTGTTTTAACAGTATGTTTTTAATTTTAAATAGCATTGCATTTTCCAGTACTATGTAGATTTACGACGGATAGTGCGAATTTTCTATATTTTCTACTATGAATGAAACTTTGCGATGATTCCAGTGTATGTACAGAATGTTGGAAAGTATTGTCTATAATACCTCTCTACGTGTGTATGTCTCTACACCATTAAATGCACAAATAACATGACGAGAACAACGAAATAATATTAGTTTGAAAATATTCGTGATATCAGTAATGACATGCCATGATGTGCCTGATTTACGTATTATTCTATAACTAGCAGTAAGTCTATGTAAATAGAATATACATATTTTGAACATGTTTTAATATTATACTGGTAAGGTATCGAAATAGCATTTTTAGTTTAAATTCTATTCTTTTTAGTTAGTTTTGTTTTTATTTTGCTAACCATTTCCAGTTCATGTTCCTTATATAGCCAAAATGGATGTATTATAATACTTTGATATTGTGTTAATGCTATTTATATGAACTGTACATTCCATTTTCTTACAGATATACCTTTTTATTTATAAAGCAAGTTTTAGTTGACTTGCTTATTACAAGCATTTTTATTTGAATTTGTTTTCTGTTTAGTATTGTTCGTATTCAATAATGTCAATTCGGGCGCCTGGTATAGTTCAATGTATTTATGTATAATTTTACCAATGTTTGGGATTTAATTGCCATTTAAATGCCATAGTTTGAAACTACAAAATTGCCACTAGGTTGTGTTATGTAATGTACAAAATTCTATAGAGTTACCCAAATTATATCTATTTTAATTTTAGAGAATTTATATTAAATTCTATGAGTCTGACTTAGCATATTATTGTATTAACTTTTTTATATTATGACAGATCATATAATTATGTTAATGAATCAAATGTGATAATGGTATTTATAAAATAAATAACGATTTTATAAAATTAGTCTTATTGTTTTTGTACATTAATTTAGCTTTAGCGCTATATTATTACAACTAACATAAATTGTTTACCCACTAAAAGTCAATACGTCACAGTCTCACAGTTCCACAAGAGGCGCATTTGGCGAAGTGCAACGAGTAGAAATTTACCACGAAAGGTGTTATCTAATCTTGGACGTCATCACAAGCTTCCACTAACAACGACTTAATTCGAAAAAATATCACATGTGAGAAATGAACCGATTTATCAGTCATTTGTAGCTCAAATAATAATGCGGCAGTCATGGTATGGCGGCGGCGGTGTCTCACTACGATCCGGAACACGTATCGCATCTATTTGTAATGGGGCTTCAGTCACATCCGGCAGACCATACGTTGGGAATGGTGCACTTCTATCAGGCAAGGAGAGCTGTCTCCGGAATGAGGGCGGACTCTCCAAGTCCGGGTTCACAACAGTAGTCCACAGTAAATTAGTTCTCATGTCCCCGTCAAATCTTTGCATTCTACGTCTTCTTTGTCTCCTTGTCTGTGGCCGAGTACATCGTAATGCACGACATGTACAGAATCTATTCAACCAAACGTATGTTGCCACTATTCCAATTGCTAAGCCTATTTCGATGCCAAGTATGAAAGCTTTGACTGCTGAAAAGTCTTGATCAAATTTTTGAAATGGTGTAATTGGTTTGTTTGTGTCTTCCACGGCAGAATCATTTTTCTCTGTCGTTATGTTCCATATATCGCTTACGTCGACTTCCTTTTTCTTCACATCTGGTACTAGGAATATCATCTTCTCGGACATTTTTGGTACCTTTTTCTTGCACTGTTTTTGATAAGTGATACCTCGAGATGCTATCCAATTTTCCACTGCTATGAAATCTAAATTGCATAGCCAGAACTCGTTGCGAAGTTCTATTCTCTCTAGTTTACGTAAAGGTGTCAGAACCTCTGTTTTTAAACTTGTTACATAGTTCTCACTTAAATCTAGTTTTCTCAAATTCGGTAGTCGGTTGAACAACCGCGGCGGTAAAGCCTTAATGCGGCAATTGTTAAGATTTAATACCTGGAAACGGAAACAAAATTTCGATCAAACCTAAACTAAAATCTAAACAGTAGGTGCAAAGAGTGATTAATAATATACCATCACTTATAGGCGAAGAAAATAATACATATTAGTTACCTTTAGTTTTGAATGCATCAAAAAGGGTTCATTCTTAAGACTTTCAAACACGTTCGATGACAAATCCAACGTGTCCAATTCTGGCGTCTCGAAGAATAGATCGGAAGGAATGTATCTCAATCTGTTGGTGCTTAGATCCAAATGTACTAATTTATCCAATCCCGAAAAAGCATGCAGACCAATCCAGAATATCAGGTTATTCGAGAGATCCAGCATTTGAAGCGATGTATAGCCCAAGTCCTGTAAGAGATGACACAAAGGACATGATGATAAAGGATAAAAAGTTGTCAACAATAGGTGAGTACATTGCACTATAATTACAGTGATAATTGTTAGATACTTATTTAGATAAGTGGGATAGGCAGCTCGATTGTTTATAGATTTTTATTAGCAGTATCATTACCGTTAAACGTGACTTTATGATTTTAAATAAACGTTGCCGTACACTAGAATTTTCTCATGTATTATGGGTACACTTACAACCATACAAATTTACATACACATGACATCCAGACCCGTAACAACGATTTGTGGATCACACAAGAGAGCGTGTGGGAATCGAACCCGTGAGCAATGCTACAGCCGGTCGCCCAGGCATTGCATCAATCGTGTAGTCAATCAATTAAAATTTTGATTGATAGTTAGTATGCTTTCTACCCTAGTTAATTGACGCAATTTAGTACTTCAGGAGATAAGTTTTTGGAATTTTCCTTGTTTTCCACAAGCCCTTAGTTATTGCAAAATCATAGATAGGACCTACTTAACATGACGTACGACAAGTGGTAAATGAGTCAATATCTCAACATTTATTTATCTAAGTACACAAGTATTTATAATAACATTGAAATATAAAAACAATTCGGTACATTGCTTACCTTAAAACAAAAGTTATCCAATTCACTAATAACATTATGACTCAGACTGTATACTTGCACTGCTTTGGGCACTCCCATGTCAACGGTGATAATGTTTTGATCGACACACATCGCCCTGTTCAACCCATTGTCCATGTCACAGTCACATTGCTTCGGACACAACTCACCACCGACCCCCGCACTAAATAAGACCACCACTAAAATATATATCAACTCCATCTTTTAACGAAACATGAGGACTTCTCATTATTAAATTAATATTTATTTTTAAAAGATTCAATGCAGTAAAGTCGCTTCCGTTCGTTTTCACATGAAAAAGTGGAGCAATGAAACACGATTTGATAAAACAATCACTATCAGTGGAGATAAGATAACCGCGCACCTACGTAGAACATAATCTTTCACTACATAAACACTGGGTTTCTTAAATACGTCTACTATGAATGCACTATACAAGTACAGGGAAAATGAAAAACTGAATCACTAATCATAATTATTTTTAATTAATCTTATTCATTAAATACAGTACCTCCTTAATTAACATTTAATACAAAGGTTATCTAACTTACCACAGATAAATAAATATTCGATACGTTGTACGAGAGATTATAGGCAAATTAAGTGTACGATAATGACACTTAAGGAACTAGAAGTTAAGGTCGTAATGGTTTAACCATTGTTTGTGGAAGTTTATAAAATTTTCAACTGAATATATTATTATGCCTTTGGTGTGTGGCAGGGTAGCACCGTTTCATGGTGTAATCTATTCCTAGTAGCGCATTCCTGATATCGTTCACCGATACGTTAATACTTTCAAAAGTGCCGGCCACTCGGTCTACTGCTAGGGCCTGTAAAAAATATATTCGTGAACATTAGGTACTTTGTTTGTCGAGTGGTCGCAGGTACGACTGCTAAGTAAGAAATTTCGGGTGAAAGTGGCGAACGTGGGTGTTATAATGTGGGAGTGCATATCTGCCGTTCAATTCGGGGAATTTATATTATAGTAAAAATCTGTCAATAATAGTAACACCAGTATGTGTGTACTAACTTGTTCATAAGATGCGTCTGCTATTTGCTCCAAGGCTTTTGAGCTAGTGAGAGTGGCTTCTGACAGTTGTGTCATTGCAGCTGTTTGCTCATCCATCACATCAATCTAAAATACAAAATGATAGTTACATATAGATAATATTCTGTACTGTTCATTTGATAAGTAAGGAAGCTCAAAGTTTAGGCAAAGATATCTTTTAATCCTAAAAAATCCTAAAATTATCTCAATATAGCTAGGCAAAAACGAGTTTGACGCGAATTAGTATTGATTCAGACTGAATCATGCACTTCGGACCATATCCAATGAATAACCGCCCTGAGGACACGGTGGAACACACAGTGGGAGAATGCCCTGCGTGGGCTGAGCACCGCCGTGCCCTCAGGGAAGTGATCGGCGATGGCGACCTCTCGCGTCCAGGCCTAGTGCAGGCCATGATGCGGAGCGAGGGAACTGGGATGCCGTCTCCTCCTCTTGCGAAGCAGTCATGCTAGCTAAGGAGGAGGCGGGACGCGTGAGGCAGCGAAGCGCTGCCTCCTCGCAACCCAGCCATCGCGAAGGACACACCGGGCGTCGGGGATCGCGGGACGATCTCCGGCCACCGTAAGCGCGGGACTGCAGACGGCGAGCATGGGTGGCTCCCCGTCCGACCAGAAACAGACCCGAGCGTACGGCGCGTCGCGAATAAACAATCATCCGAACATAATACCTTATCCTTTAACCCGTCAAGTGTTGACTTGACTCCCTGCAAATGTACCGTGTTATGCGACGTCTTTGGCGCATACATAAGACATTCGATGGGTCAAACTCGATAAAAATAACAAATATCAACACTGATTGCCACACTGTAATTTGATAAGGATATTCATGACTGTAAGTTTGAAGCTGCTTGACAATGGAGGAGGATAAACATCTGTGAAATACTCAAGTAATAAGATTACTGACCAATTGGTCAATCATTTTGATCTGTCGTTGTTCTGCTGCCGATAAATAATGGCCACCTTTCGAAGCATCTTCAAACGCATTACCATTGACAGGTACTCTTCCCACACTGCTGCGAAATTTCCCTGAAAAATATTAGGTGTATATTTTACTATATTCTACTTCTACTTCATTACTGCTCTCTGACTGCCTCATTAGCCGAGTGGTCGCAAGTGCGACTGCTGGGCAAGGGGTCTCGGGTGCGATTCCCTGAACGGGCAAAGTATTACTGGGTTTTTTCAAAATATGTCAGTAGTACCACGGAGTCTAGATATGTGCCCGGTATATAGCAATAAGCTCACCCCCTATTACTACATGGGATTCATAACATAAACTAACTAGTGGCACTAAGTGCCATAATATGCACCTCTGCCTACCCCTTCGGGGATAAAGGCGTGATATTATGTTATTATATTTCATTATGTATGATCATAATGGTTGAAATTTTTTTAATTGAACTTCTAATGAGTTAAGTAGACAGAATTACATGTTCAATTCAAGTTGTTTATTATTAGGATTTTAATTGTTTGAAATCTATGCTGGATACATCAGCACCGAATCAATAGTATGCTTATCTATGGGATAATGAAAAATTTGAAAAAAGTTTAAGTACTCACTAGTTTGTGCGAATTTATAATCACATAACACTAAAATCTTTCGTTGTAATGGTGTCAGCCGGCTTTTAAGTTTACCTTGCTCAATTTGTTTCTGTTTGATAATCAAACTTCGTCGTTTGTCTGACCAAAACTAAAGACAAAAAAAAATATGAAATTAACACAATTTTCTTGTTTTAATTTTGCTGATTGTTGCAAAAGTAATGTAGTTAATTATTAGTATTTGGTTGGTACATAGCTATTATGTACATACCTTGATCCAAGCTGGTTTTGTTTTTTTAGGTCCGTCCACAGAGTTAACCAGTTTTGCTAGTTTAGTCCATAATTTCTTATGTTTGGCTTGAATCTTCAGACCTACATTTTTCCTTCTGCGAGCCAGGTCTGGGTGCTCTTCCATAAATGATATTATTTCCATCAACTGGGCTAGTGTTGGCCTAGAAGCCTAAAAAAAGATTTTTTTTATCATATTGTGTAACCGGTAACTAAGATTAAAAATCATGCATTCTTTAAAAACTTTTGTACAAATCTGCCGATATTATGATATTATAAAGCTCCAGCAAAATTGAAACTGAAACAAAGGTCTCAATTTATGGTTTTAGAAAAGCAATAATGTTTTTGTTTCTTAAAATTGATAATAATGTAATGTTACATACTCGAACTTCTCGAACAGGGCTTCCAGATTCTCCAGCATCATCTTCAGACACATCAGACATATTTAATTATCTACTGAGAGACTGTTTATATTACTATGAACTCCTAAAAATATTTAGTTTTCAGTTTTGATTGTTTTTCAGGTTGCCATTATGTAGTGATGGAGGATGTATAATAAATTGTTAAACTCCAGAATATAAAACCATTACATTTTATTCTACATTTCTAATCAAAGTGAGCTGAAAAATGATAATTATTTATGTTACAGAGCCACATTACAAGAACAATTATAATAATGTATTTTACTAATACATTTTTTCCCAAAAGATTGATGAATGTATAACAAGGAAGCATCCAACCCCTCATACTTCTAATCGAGGCGACAAGTAAAAGGTTCATAATATCTGATAATTAATTAGACCCTAATAGACCTGAATTAGGGAGTTTATTGAATGCTGGAATAAACAAGAGTAATCCTACAGGTAGAAACTGAGTCACGTTCGTACATTCATCAATCTAACAAGAATATTTAAAAAGGCAAACAAAACAAAGAATAGTATCCAGTGTTTCATTCAAATAAAATTATTAAAATTGAAAGAAACATAGTAGGTATGTACAACAAATCTAAATTATTATTAACGGTTAACCAACCGGTCATAAATATTGATATTATCGGCTCATTTCATCGATACAAAAAAAATCACAACTCAAATAACTCACACGAAAACGCAACGACCAAAAAAAAACAAATATAGAAATACTGTCAAAGTGTCAACTTTCATCACACTCATCTGTCAGCTGTCATCGTGTCAGTTTTGTATTTTCTGCGGTTATTTCGTCACCGAACTCGAAAGTGTTGAATCGATAAAAAAGTACGGACTCATTTAAGTATCAATACTTCAAGGTATCGAGTACTTTTTTATGTAAAAATTTCCATACAGCATACGTCAGTAAATAACATTAGATGTAAATAATATCAGATTTACTTCGAAAAAAATGTTCGTATTGGTTTTGGTACAAATTTAATAAAATAGAAAACAATTAAATGGAATGAATGAATGAAACACATCGAAAGTGTAAAAAAAGGAAACAATAATAAGTTACTGGTATATTAGCAGTATCCCGCGGATTCACCCGCAGATTAAATATCCCATTGTTCTTCCGTCCATTCACTTAAATAGAAGTTTGTTGAGCCTTTTTGAAGATAAGCGCTTTTGAATTTTTGTGATGGTATTTACTGCTTCAGAAAATCATTCTAAATTTAATTTATAGCCTTGTGCCAATTTATATAATTTTGGGAATACTACTTTGGGAATTGAACTGCTAACAGCCGAACGGTAAGAATGAGTTCAATCAATCGAATGTTTTTAAAAGTTTTCAACGAGTGAGCTATATAGCGCTGTTAACCTATTAAACTAAATTTTTCATTCCACACGGTACCCAAGAAAAAATACCGAATATGAGTAAAAGTATCGAATACGAAAGTACAATAGTGTCTACAAAAGTATTGGTATCGAATGGGAATGTACTTGATACAACAAAGCATCGATACTTCCATATTCAGTGGAAAGCTTAAATACGGTTAATTAGTGCTTGGATTAGTGTTATTTAGCAAAACATATCGACTATTTTTTTATTTAATATCATTTATTTATTGACCTAAAGCAATAGAGCCCAATACAATCTTGAGCAAAATATCACGACATAAAGCTAACTAAACAATAATATTAATTTAGAACTATAAATAAGAAAATTTTTATATTTAGTGACGAAACATCCAAATCATAAATAATGATCTGGCAGCACTCAAACTGTTTGCTTGCTGTCAAATTTGCAATAATACTCTTTACTCATTGCGTATGAAGAAAACCAATAAAACTTGAAGGTATTTCACTGATTCAGTGTCATTTGATGTAGAGTGTACTAATTTCACTTAATTCTAGTATGAACTTATTTATCCATAAAATAATACAAGATTATTGAGTTCTTATAAGGTAAGTGTGATTGATTATTAAGGAACTATATGTTCAGCTGATTGTTGTTTACAAAATATTTTTAGATATTATCATTGAGAGTCTTGTTTTCATTTGTAGCAATGTATTCTTTCGAGGGAGACTTCAGGCGCAAGCCACAGCAGAACTTAGCTGGTGCAAGTGCACAGCGCAAGACAGACAGAGACACCTTGATACTGCAGTCACAACAACAAAGGCAGAAAAGAGAGGTTACCTTTCTATAACTATGCTTAAGATTACTTTCACCCCAATTACTGTGCAGTATTTAACAATGTAACTATTTTGTGGACAAAGCCAAACAATATTACAGCTTAGTTATGTACAACCTTCTTACTAAATCTTCTAGGAAGTAATTTATTTTTATATTCTCCTCTTAATACATTTCAGGAAAACATTCATTGTCCAATTTACCCCAATATTGGTACTTTCATATAAGATTTTTCTGATCAGTATTTGCAAAACTGTCTATCATGCTACTAAATAATAAAATGACTAAATCATTAAATAATCAATACAATGACTTTGCAGTTTTCATTTAGGTAGTTTCACAATAAGTTGTAATAGCATTTGAATTGTATGCTTAAGTGCTATACTAATAAAGATGATATTGTTTACCACAATTTAAAAAGTTAATTGTAAAATAATGTTATCTGTGGGTATTGCATCATCTGTTTTGAAATAAAAAGTTAAACATTTCATATTATTATGTTTCCAGGAACACAGAAAGCGTTTGAATAGTACAATAAAAATCCAGGCTTACGTAAGGAGTTATCTAACTAGAAAACATTATAAGCAACATGAAAGGGACCAATTCGATAGCATATTTCCAAGGATCAATCCTGATGACCAACAAATGATGTGTGCGCTGGTTGCTAAAATATTATTCTTCTACGACGACCAACAGGATTATTCTAGACTGGTATGTTGTTATTCAATAGTTGGAAAAACAAGAATTTATTTATTTTCCAACCATTGAAATATTTAACATAACAATAGCCAATAAGCATTATAATAGTTTCCTGTAAATAAACCCAGGAAATATTTTCCTGATTACCATGTGAGATACGGTTCTAACAAGAATACTAAGTCTATTAGAAGTTGCCTTACTTAAAAACCTTTTTTAAGTTAATCTGAACATAAAAGAGCATTTTGGTGGTTTCAATAAATAAAAGTCATAATTATTTTATTACTTTTAGATGAAAGGAAGTATTTTTTTTTATTTTGTATCTGTATGGTACTCAAATTTTAGTAACATAACATTTATCCCCGAAGAGGTCGGCAGAGGTGCACATTATGGTATTTAATGCCACTGTACAATGTAATACCCACTTTCACTATTTATGTTATCAGTCCCATGTAATAGGGGTTGAGCCTATTGCCATATACCAGGCACAATTCTAGACTCCTTGCTACTACTGAGAATTCTCGAAAAAACCCAATAATACTTTGCCTGACCTGGGAATCGAACCCGAGATCCCTTGCCTGGCAGTCACACATTGGTATTGTTTTTAGGTTTCAGTTTCCCAATTACTTTTGAAACAATGGAAAAAAGTGTATCAAATTTGTGGAGCCTGTGTACAGATCAGAAGGTTGCTAGTGTTGCACTTACGTTTGTTAAAGGAAAATGGTGAGGTGAGTAAAATAAAAAATGTGGCTATAAATGCATCATTTTTTGATGTGTAAAGATATTAATAAAATGTATTGAATGTCCCACAGGTACCGCTAGCTGTACCACTCAGAATGTTTGAAGTGTTCACATCTACAAATACAGCTGAGGCATCAATCAACTGTGATGAAGCACTCAGTATCATTGGGAACACGTTTTTGTATCTTGTTAAAAGAGGTATGAAGTTTCAGTTTTTAACAGATTGTATAATACTTACATATGACATAGAGACTCCAACAATCTGGAGAAGCTTGTGGTTCTTGGTTAGGTTAACGAGAAAAGACCTAGTGGTCGCTCACCTACCCGGTTGTTGGATGCTGTAAAAAACCTAACCGGCCTGTCAGTTCCATAAGTCATAAACACCGCAGAGGACAGGGGCGTTTGGAGGAGGGTTGTGCATCAAGTGACGCGTGCACTAGACTAGAGACGACCTTCAGTAATGAAGAGAACGACTAGGAAGGAAGGATAATACTACAACTGGCAATCCGGTTTTCTTTATCATAGGATGCAAACGAAAATTAAATAAATCAGTAAAATCAATACAGATGATAAAAAGTTGTCATATTACCATTTCGGATGTTTTGAATGCATCCACTGTTTGTCCTATACTATAACAGATATCTACGTAATATTGTATTTTATATCAGCGGATTCTGATATCAATATTTGTTGTTTTTCAGGTTATTTTCAAGATTTGTGTAAGCTATTGTGCCAGAAAACTCCGCCACTGTACGGGCCTTCTCCCAATCCACCGACGCCGCTCAGTGGAGCCCTACTAGATCTCATACAGCGACCTTTAACCCTTATCTCACGTGTTAATATTCCACATTATGAGTGAGTATCCTAACAAAACTTTCTTTATAATATTAGTTTATTGTTTCTTGAACTTAATTTTGTGTTTATTTTATTACCAGTGACAGCATCATGACAGAGTTTGCGTCTGCCTTCCTCTGCAACCCTTACCCAGAGCCGGTGGAGATGTACGTAATACCGGCGCTTGCGCAAGATCAAAACAAGAAGTTCCCGTTCCTATCGCTCATACAGGCCCTCCGAGAAGACTCAAAATTCACCAGTCAAGTATTACACAACGATTCTTGGCTTCTACATTCTGTACTTACACTAGAACCATCTGATTTTGGTAAGATTTTTGTATAAACTAATTTGTCATAGTAGTAACAACTTTAAGAATCTTTAAATAAGGTTTAATTTAAACTGTCACTAAAATTTTTGTGGTATTTCTATTGCTCTAATCAAAACATGTTTGTTCCAGTGAATGTTGTGCGTAATCTGGACAACACAAGACTGCCGAACAATCCTATTGCTTTAGACTATTTTAAAATTATTGCTAAGTTAACTGTTAATGTTTGTAATAAGCAAATCTCTTACGAGTTTGAAGACTCGTTGTACAGTCAGGAGACTGTGGCTGAAAAGGATGATGACAGTGATAGTGAGCAGGAACCGAACCCGACTTCGGTTAGAGAGCAAATGTTGTTGACGCGGTGTATAGAGTTACTAAACGAGCCCGAGCGCTGCATCATGACCACGTGCTCACAAATCACGGAGGCTGATCTCAGTGAGGACTTCTTAGATAGTGTGTCGGAGATATGTCACAATTTGTTGTTAAGTCACAAGATGGCGCTGCATAAGTACAGGTTAGTAATAATAATAATGTTGGTATTATATCTTTTGCTAAAAACCGAGGCTTAGAACATTTTAATCAAGTATGTTATGTTGGTTGCAGGCTGCTGTACACGCTGGCGTTCAAGCCGATGTTCCTGCGCGGGCTGTGGGTGTGGGTGTCGGGCATGTCGCACGCGTCTGCGTACGGCGCGCCCGCCACGCCGCTGCTGGCCGCGCTGTGCCGCGGCCTGGCGCACGACGCGCGCGCGCTCGCGCTGCACCGCCTCCTCGCACCACTCGCCGTCTTCTGCGCACTGTTCTCCTTGCTCATCGGCACCCTGCATGACACTGAGTTCTGCAGGGATCCTGATGAAGATAAGAAGATCTCTAGTGAGTGTTTCAGTCGTTCAGTCATTCATCAAATTTAAATAAACTGTGACATCCGAGTCCATTAAGGTGTTTTAGTGAAAGTAGTGAGTTACTATTTAAAAATTTATGTTTAGCAGCAGACGTCTTGTGGTTGATGGCAGACGATGAATCAGTTACTTACAGATTTAGGCCATTTTTACGCACTCCAGTTATTATAAACAATGTGTCCAGTGGGCGTGTCGGTGGTGGGGGGCGCGGGGCGCGGCGGGCGCGTGCACGCGTTCGAGTTCAGCGAGCTGGGCGCGCTGTGCCGCACGCTGCGCGCCGTGTGCCTGGGGCTGGTGGAGCTGGCCTACCCGGAGTCGCGCCCCGCCGTCGCCGGACACTACAGGGACGCCGTCAACAACGACCACATACAGATCTCCGGGAAGAACC